TATATATATATATATATATATATATATATATAAGCAACCCTGTCCCCTCCCATCTTCGGCTGGTCCATTAGGACTAATGCAAATACATCTACATTCCTAAATAGACTAGATAAACGCAAATTTAACTCAGTCGCGTATTTCCCAGTAATAGGGCGCTTTGCGCAATTCCATGTTCCTATCACTCATTTGAAAGTCCTGCTCTTGTCCTGGCGGAATTATTTTGACGAGTTTAAAATAGGTTCTCGGTCTTGCTGCGATTTGAGCCCTGGGTATTCGAAAAGCGGTGCAAACCTGTTACCACTGTGCCATTAGTGAATGCTGGACGCAGCTGCATTATCGCATCTGGGCCGGCGAACGTGTGATTTTTTTGCTCAGCACCTAGGGTGTACATTCCTAATGAGCCCGGATAAGAGGACTGTCTCGCTAGAACAGTTGTACCCTAACATCAATAGGACCGTGCGAATGAACGTAGTGTGAATGGAGAAGCAAGTGGTGAGGCCGGTGGTAACGTTACGGGCATACGCAAAGAAATGTATGAGAAACGGGGTCGGTGAATTTTATGTGTTTAATTTGATACTTCAGTATCACCTGAATGCAGTAGGGCTCACAACACTCGTACTATACCAGTGGTTGCTCGGGGATAATTGTATTTGGTTCTCAGTCATTTAACATTTCCTTCACTCTATTGTGCTCACCGCAGTGTTTTGCTGGCATTGAAGTGCACAGTGTAATATTGCAATATGCCTTCCTGGATATTGTTCTGTCAGCAACATCGTTACTATGGCGATAAAAATTGGAACGCGTTTGAGAAGTTGTAACAAAGGAAGGAAAATGCATGCATTTCTTTTGCTCATCACTGAAGTCTTACGACAATTATTAGTTGCTGTTTTTCTCCCAAGGAGTTTGCGTGCCCGCACTAAATTAGGAGAAAACATTTGTTTACCTCTAAATTTCATCGTTTTTTACCGTGCATACACTCGCTCTGCAAATATTGGGCTTGTAGCTGGGAATGTGTAATATATGTGAAATATCTTCCCGGATTACGTAAATCTCATTTGCTCCTCTTCGTTTTAGGCACGGCAGTGGTTATTAGAAAAAAATTACTGCTGCTTTTTACGCAGGGTATTCATTGTGTCTTTCCGGCAAGGTAATTAAAGAAACTCTACAGAGAGTCGAGTCATTTTTTATAACATTGTTACTGTACTGTTGTACATTGGAAATACTGCAACGGCCACATCATGCGAAACTCACTTTATATCAAACTTCCTTTTGGCGACCATGAGATTCGATAGGTACATATCTGTTCAAAGTTATTTTCCGATCCCTAGCATGTTGCCACAAGCCATCTGAGCATGCAGAACGGGAGTCATAGCTACTAGAGGGGACTGGCAGTCTTGTGATGCAGTTGACAATTCGTAAACCACTTAACCATGTCTTTTCCGAGAACTTGCCGTACTTCTCATAGTGCGACTTTTCAACACGAGATTCTTTGTTTTATGGGACAGGAATCCCTCTTCTCTCGCCCCTACTAATTCTCTGTGTTCTTATTCGAACATCGATCCACACCGGAGTTTCAGATGCGAGGATGATTCGTTATAGTTTGCACCTTCCCATTAATTCAGTATTTTCATTCCACAAGCTGTTACTTTTCACTTTTGTGTGCTTTATCCTACTCTCCATCTCGCCTTTTGCAGCACCAGTACCACAACCAGATTGAAGCCAATTTGGAGCGAATTCAGCGAAAAATGGCCATATTACTGAATGAGAAAATGGGTAGCATTTTGGAGGGAAATCTGGTTAAGCTGGCTCGATATGACGTCAACTCCTTGCTTTCATCTGTTCTGTCACTGACGGTATGTCCACATTCTTCTACAAGAAATCGGTGTTATTTAGGTCTTAGTAACCGACTCCAATGTGTTTTGCTCACCAGTAACATATTGGATTCCCTCTTAGGCATACCTCTTTTGTCCACTTTCCATTTGTAAATCAGCCCATTTTTCTGTCAGTTTTTTCTACCGACAAATTTTAACAATTGCTTGTTGACTTTTCTTGTCGAACATCACCAAACTGAGATTTTATTTTCTCATCGCCCGTAAAAACGAACATACTTATTGTTGTAAGTACACAGAATCCGAGTAGGTCGTGGGCCACAGTGGTTTCAGTCACTAGCGCTCCAGTGGTTAGAGCGCGCATTTACTGACCGGAAGGTCCCGGCCTCTGCATCTCCACTTCTGCCTAAGCAACCTGGCAGTATCTCAGCCCTTGTGCTTTCTCCGGGTGGCATGGCAGCTAGGCACCGGAATGGTGTTGCAGCCTAATGCCTTTTTTTCAGCGCCTTAAATCACATGAATTCATTCGAAGAAGCTCCGGCTCTCAAGGAGGAGCAAACCACAACAAAGCTAACCCTGGTGACATAGCAAGATCAATTGTCAGCAGAAACAGTTCCCCAATAACAAAACGCATTTGTTTGCGAAGAAACTAACGAGACCTGTGACATACATTCCTTTGCATACCAATTTCGTTTTCAAGGAGGACCCAGTTGAATCCTGACTGAAACTGTCGTTCATCATATATCCTTCTTCAACTCAATGTGCTGCACCAGGCCAGCTCATGTTTTAGTTTGTACGGTAGGTCAGTATCCCAATACTCTTAAAGGTAGAGCTTCTAGCAACCTTGTGAGTAGTGTGTTGCATCCATCCTAGCGAAAGATTTACTTCCTACTCAATTCGTAGACGCAGCGTGGAGTTTCGTCATCACGCCAGACTTTTCAATGATCACTTTTTCGGAAAATAATCGGCGGTGTTATAAAAAAAAGTTGATCTGTACGTGTAACTCAACCGCTTCCTTGTCTAAACTCTTAGGTAAACGTCACATGAGTAGCGTTGACATATTAGATGGTATACGTTTGTTGTTTGAGTTTATATAATGTGTTCTGCTACGCCGAAGTTGTCTCGCGTCATTTCTGCGGTGAAAATTGTGGATCACTATGGAGTCGGGATTAAATCTTCACCCTCCCGCAATCTTGTCTCCTTGAAGTTTCTCCATTGTTTATACGCCACGTGAATGAAATCGTGCTAAACGCATCCTTCTAATGACCAGGGGCTGAGTTCTAACTTGTAGCTCCCCCAATATCCGCTCTGGCAAATATTTGTTTCCTGTGCGTGCTAGAACTCATTGTTTCATTCCGTTAGAACACTTTGACTCTTTGAAGGTTCCTAAACCAGGAATTTTTGTAATGCTCATCAGCTCCGCTTTATTCTCCGAATACTTCACACCGATCAATAGGAATCTGCTCATTGACAACCATTCCCATGCAAATCGGATGCTTGATGTCGATTCAGTGAGTAGACAATCTATGGGTGTAGTTTGTGCATAACCAATAATTTCTCGCCCAAGTCTGGAAAGCGGCGTAGTGATGTGCAGAGCCCTATATTTTTCTCTACGATAATGTTTCACTTTCGTCCTCCCCTTATCCAATGATCTCAGAAACCTAGTGACGAAGGAGGAAAAGCCTATGTAGAATTTCTGCGTGCCAACCTGGAACAGATGCGACAAAAGGTTTCTGATGAGCTGTATATTCTCTCATTCATGGAGGTATGTTCCTGTTTTACCGTGAATATGAAAAAAATTTGATCTCTGTCATGCACGTAGTGATGTGCAGAGCCCTATATTTTTCTCTACGATAATGTTTCACTTTCGTCCTCCCCTTATCCAATGATCTCAGAAACCTAGTGACGAAGGAGGAAAAGCCTATGTAGAATTTCTGCGTGCCAACCTGGAACAGATGCGACAAAAGGTTTCTGATGAGCTGTATATTCTCTCATTCATGGAGGTATGTTCCTGTTTTACCGTGAATATGAAAAAAATTTGATCTCCTGTCATGCACTACTGATATGCAATATTGACTTAGGAAAAAGATGTCCTGTACATACATCCATGTCACCACTGTTGACTTTCCGGGGATATTGATTTTTCGGTTATCGTCTTTCTGCCTGCATTTTGGCAAATGGTAGTTGGTCCGTTCTCTGTTGGACAGAACCCGAAATAAATTCCATCTAACCTCATTATTCAGTTCTCTCACTAGAACAAACCTGGTCATCCCTCACTGTGTGATAGTTATGGTGATGTTCCAGCAGATTTTGGTGACCCGCTCAATCACGTAAAAATGGAACTCTGTTATCGGGGAGGACATAAAACACCTTTATCGCCCTCATCTCACTCTTCTTCTCCACATTTTTCCCATAAGTTCACCCAACGCTCTGACACACCCGCACTTCCCAGCCTATACTACCAGTCATTGATACGTGTCTGCCTAGTGGATTTTTTTTCAGGTGGCATGCTAATCACTACACCGACACTATTTTCTCCACTCTATCCATTGCGTCAGTCGTTTTTAGTTGCTCTCATAAGTTATCAAATATCATGCAGCTAATCAATGGTGGTTTTTCGTTTGACTTTTTCCTTATTTCTCGCTTTTCCAGTCAATTTTATGGAGTATTTTCCAAGGTGCTGAAGTCTCCTAAGCAGACATTTACTTAATTACGTTCTGCTAGCGTTCTTATGTAGAAATAAATTTTTTCAGGAGTTCTGACACGTCGTTCCTGCGTTGGCTGTCCACCATCCAAAAACTCGCCTACTTTATCTGAACATAAACGTCGCTTAGTTTTAGTCAGTATTAGTTGTAATGTGAAATTCCCCGGGCAAAGTGGGCAGTGACATGTTCATCAGAAGACGTTTTAGTGTTGTGGACTTAATCGACTACACGCAAAACTACTTTCCATGACAACTTTGGGAAAACTCGGCGGACAGCCGCTGTTACTTAGCTCTGAGACCTCCAATAGACTATCGATGTTATTCAAACTTGGCTACTGTCACAAGCTGAAGTGTTACTCACCGCAACAACCAATGTCATGGCTCTGTAGTTTTGCGCGGCTCCTTCGATTCAGAGCTCGTGAGTTCAACCTGGCATATCTCTACGGTTGTGGTCTACGCTGCGCCATGTTTGCGAATAGTCTAGGAGCGCCTGTAGATTACGTACCTGAAGAATGCAACCAACACGACCAGTAAACTTGAAAGGGATTAGCACATGATATCAGCACCTTATTTACGCCAGCGTCCATGTGATAATCCTTCCAGTCACCGTGCAACTCAGCCTAATCTCGGTAGCTCTGTTAGAAGCCCCAATCTGTTGACGCCAACGCTAAGAACCTCAATCATTCAGGATCCTGAATAAGGAAAAAATAGTTGCTATGGTTTTTTACGTCTTAACAGAGGGCTTGTAAATAAGGCTGAAAAGTGCAAGTGTTGTTACACGAAGTGCAACTATAAAGTCGATATGTCATCACTGGCTGCAAAAATCTGCCCATCCTATTATCTGTTGAACGCATCCACCCATTTTGTAGACCGGATAGTTATCTGGCTGCCCAGAAGCTCCATGACGGTATACGACAAAACTGTTGTTCGACGACAAGAAGTATTCTACAATACAGTTAATGTCATTTTTTAGTATTTCTCATAGTGGCGATCCTTTACCCTCAGCATGCCTTAGCAGCACTGTCCTGCTGAGTTAGTTGCAAATCTACTGGGCCTTGTGATCTTGCGCAGCGTACTGAGGAGGGTTATTCCGCCATCACCGTGCATCGAAAGGACACATTTTGAACTACTTCTACACATTCATGCATATTTTGTATTTTGCGTGAGTTTAAGTGTTTTTAAGTCTATGGACGGTATTCTTGCTTTCTGGTGGAAGTCCTAGAAACTGGTTGAACTTGTACTGTTTGGTCTGGAAATCTCATACCAGTATTCTAATTTTGTGCTTAAGCTAAGAACAAACGATTGAATCTTTTTTGTTGAGTCTGCAAAGAGCCTTCTACTGTAGTTTTGTTTATCTTGCTAGATCTTTGCCATTGGAAGTTACAGCACTAAAAAATTGAGTCAAATATCGGAGAAATATCAAATCTGAATTCAATGTACAGTTTTCCTCGACCGGCCAGTTGTCCTATACAACCCATGATAGAAATCGAAGCAAGCTGGTTTTGATTGTTCAAACAGCTGTCAAACTCGTAGATCTGGTTTTCCTTGCATGTTTCTCTCGTCCTCAATTGGCCGGTTGAGATAATTCTGTCGTCCTTACTAGCATGGTCTCCATTTATGAATGCTTTAATGTGGGGTTGAGACGACTCTAAGGAGAGGAGGCGTTGTTCAGCCCGTGGATAACAACCTTCTCGTCAAGCCCCAAATTTTACTGATTTTGCTACACCTAGAATCAAAATTTCGCACCGTATCATTTCATGTAGACTACTGGAACGTTCTAACGGCGATATGAACCGAACTCTTGAAGGACTCCTATCGCTATTGCTTCCGGCAGTGTTGTTCTCACCCACAGGCCTTCTGACCAGTTTCATTCACTACACCTAAGGAGAATAGTTAGAGTTGTCGTTTTGCTGCAGCCGGAAAACTGGTTTGTAAGTGCCAACATTCTGTGTACTAGATTTCATAAATAATAATGTGGACGTGTCTATCTGAATCTCAATCTGGAAGCATAATCCTAAATTATTTCGACTGGAATGCTGAAGGTGTGCGAGCGCGTGTTGAAATGGCAACATTTAACCATCAGCATCTTATGGTTTTTCCCATGATAAGCGAAAGTAGTGAAGCTATCCCTATACGTTGGTCATTTGTATTTTCCATAGACAACAGCGTTATGCAAGACTGACGTGGAAACGATCACTATTGGTTGCTTTTGAGCCATTAAACTGTTTGCTTTGTACAGACGTAATACACTACTCATAAGGTTTTACCTGGAACCCAGCTGAATCTTTCGGATGTTTACTTCGCTCCTATTCTGCCCATGATGTTCTCCATTCGATCGTCAGCTTCTAGAAGAGTTGCCGTCTGTTACACACTATGCCTAGATTTGCGCGTTAGTTTGCGCAATGCATTGTGAATTCTTCATTGGTTTTATGCACATTGTCCTTCTCAATCCGAAATTTTCTTAGGGGGCCTAAATTCTGTATACCGTTCTCCCTTAACCTAGCAGAATCTGTGGCGCGACTTGCCGCACATCCTCTCGTAGCTAGTTTCAGTGGCTCACCGTAAAGAACAATAAACTAGCCTATCTAGCTGAGTGGTATCCTGAAGTATTCTACCCCGGAAAACCATTTTTTTAGACACGACAGCAAATTTTCTCCTTCCGCATGACTTGTTCTTAACAGCATGCATCCAGAACAGCTGCTATTTACGTACGCTTCAAGTTTCCGCTTGCGGATCTCGATCTGAGTATTTATCGTTTGCTAATCGTCTGAGAACCATTCATTCTCCCTCTCTCTTGCATTTGGTCTCTATTAAGTCCCGAAAGCTTTTAGTATCGTACTCAAATTTATGCTCATCACGTGCTTTCTATTTCTACACTTGAGCGTCGGGAATTTCTTCTAGCCATCTTCCAATTTTCTTTTCCGAATCCCGAAAACGATTTTGAAAGTCAGGGAAAATAGTCTGCCTATTTCTTCCTTTTTACTTCGCAATCTGTCTTTCCCGAATTGTTCAGCGCATCGCGGGAGTTAAGCTGCACAGATCCAATTGTTTTTCGGAAATGATTACTTTTGAAGACTTAATTTTTGATGACTGGTGGAGTATTCCATCGGGATGATTATGTAAGGTGACTTTACAGCATACATAATTTTCTACGTCTACTTGAAAAGGGTGAAGGTTGTGGAGTCACTTACTGGGCGTCTGCACTCAGGGGCTTGAACATGATAACTTCCATTGAGTTGTAGTTAAGGCCTGGTTATGTTCAGACTTTTGTGTTCTGTAGATAAACTAGCCGTCGGACGTGAACTGGATTTGACCAGACAATTTTTCGAAACCGCTGCCGTTAGCACCTGCGCCAGAGCGCGCGTACAAACTGCCACTTCCATACTCGCAAGGATCGAGTCGGATGTTGTCAGACTAGACAAACTGAGAAATTGCGTGTGCCTCTCGAGGTTTCATTTTCAGACCCGGGCCACTATAAGCCGTATAGCTCGCGTGTAGCGGGAGGTGTAAATGTAGTTTTTTTGCGCAAGACCAGAAGTCGTAAGCTTGTTGGTTCGCTTAACTCTTGCGAACAAAAGAGAAAATTTTAGTCGTGAGTAACCAAACAAGAAGAGAATTAACATATGAGGACTGAATCATGCTAATTGTGTCTTGAGGCATCCTATGAGGACGCACTCGTCTCGGTAGATGGTGCTTCGACCTGCTTATCACATGACCGAGCGGCCGAGTGCTTTTGGCCGCATAACCAAATACCCGTTTTTGATCACCTTGTTACGAGTTCGTTGACGCCATCCTACACCAGCAAAGCTTCTAAGGCATCGCTGGTTTAAAACGTGAAGACGCCTCATATTAACTCCATGTCTTGCGGTCATACAGCACAGCCCTTACTGTAGCATCGTACAGTGATTCGTCTTTTTCACGCCATAAGTGATGCAAATTGGGAAACCGTCTTCAGGTCCGTGAGACTCGTGCACAACCTTCACCAAACACAGTTCCGTCAGAGCTCATGCAACTACCGAGGTATGTAACATTCTACTTAGCCTCCGGTGGTTTTAGTTGACTTCCGAGGGTATGTTTAGAGACTGCACCGTATGAAGCACGTCTTTACACTTTGGAGTTGCAAGGCACATGTCGAAAGATGGTCAGTTTATTCAACTGAACTTGTACTTGGCCTTCGTCTTCAAAAATACTCATGTCATTCTCACTAGCAACGATGTGAAAACCAGGGTTTACGAGACCTTCTAGCGCCCGCCTAATTTTTTATCGATGTCGAAGTTTGCCGAGAACGTAGAGAGTGTAAATTCTTACTGGTTACCACCTATTGTAAGAAGGCTTCCAGGGAACTCACCATACACTTACACCCAAGAGTACGTGAATATGGGGACCGGATTATGTTCACAAACTTCCTTGACATTCCCTCTTAAGTAAGTATGGTTAGGGATATTGATCGATTGGCAAAATCGAATTCATTCCCTCCCCCACTCACACTTTTTTTCTCACTTTAGGACTAAATATAACTAAACTTTGTGGTTGTACGTCAATGAAGCATCAACACTAGAGTTTCTGTCATTGATGATGATGATGAGTGTGATGAGTTCAGCTGTTTTTTGTTCTTTGCTTGCTCTTATCAGTCGACCATTGTATATTTGCAGTGTTCCAACTGTTTGTCTGTGATGCTGGTGGTGTTAGGAGATTTAGGAATTTCAATGGGGGTTTCTTCCTGAAAGTGAAGCCAATCTGGACGGCTGTTTCGTCCTTATTCCGAATCATCAGCAGTACGCATCTCACAAAACTAAGAGAATTTCCAATCTGCGACTTTCCGGCCATTGCTTGATCACTCATCCGTTTGGACACCAGTGGTTGACCAGCAATGTGGTTAACTCGCACTTAGACAGGATACAGCACCGCTCATCATTCAACCATGAGATCCACATCACGTGGTCACACCTGTTGACTGGCTCCTCGAGTGAGGACTTCCCATATGGAATTTTCACTCATCCATAACCACATGGTGCAGGACCATTGGTCTTAGTTGTCTGATTTCAAAACCATACCGACGCACCTTTTGCTTCCTTTTGAAGCACGCCACAAAAATGCATGAGTGCTTTTGAAGTCCTCTTAACCTGGCAAAGTTGTGCGCATGTTCTCTAAACGTAGCCACAACTTACTGCGGATTTCTAGGCATGACTCACCCAGCAACTACTGAAAGCAGTCAATTCTCGGTGAAAGTTCGGGGCTAATAACTTCTGGGTTTTCAAATTACAGCAGGAACTCAAATAGGAGTACATATTTTTGTCTTTGAAACAACACAAATATATATAAATCAGGACGATGGCGGGTAGCCAGTTCATTGACACCGTGGAGAGGAGAGGGATCGATAACATGTCAAGTCACGATTTCACCTACTCGGTCATCCAGGCGTGTTATGCGCTGAATTCGTCTCTCGCTGATAGGTCAAACATTTAAATCGGAGTTATTTTACTTCGATCCAGCGGTGTTCAGCATCGAGGTTCCGAGTGGCTACACTTCTCTTGTAAACACCGCAAATTTAGACTAATTCGAACCACCTAAGGATAACTTTTACTCGTGAACAAGATCTTTCACTATCCAGTTTCGCAGTTTTTTAACCTTTTGAATCAACCCGTTCGTGTTGGTAACTAATTCGTTGGTTCGAGCTTTGGGTAGCCTGCTTGATTGGTAGACGCAAAACATTAGGTGTCTGTTCATTTGCCAGGTTTGAAGCAGCTGGTTGTCGCCAGCTGATTGTATACCGATGGCTGCTGAAAAGATGGTGCCCAAACGTGGTTGAACCAAAGCGAACACTATATCTTTCGACTTGAGTGCGACGCTTTTATTTACAAACCAAAGGTGTATTGCAGGTTCATCTCAGGATTCTTTTATGTTGCGGATTTTCGCTTCGGTGTTTGCTCCTAGTGGAAATATGGAATCTTACGTCGACTCATGTGCACCATTCGCTAGTTCTCTGGAAGAAGGGTTGGTACCAGAGGATTGGAAATGCGGGATAATAGCCCCCATATTCAAAGGAGGTATCAGAACGTGTGCATCTAACTACAGACCTGTCACTCTTCTCCCAGTAATATCAAAAGTAATGGAACGAATTATAGCAGAAGCCCTGAAATCGCACCTTGAAATTCACTCCTTGTTGAGCGATAAACAACACGGATTTCGACAGAATCGTTCTTGTTTATCCAATCTCCTCGTGACACTCGATGACTGGACACGAGCAGTCGATGCGGGAGTTACTGTACATGCCTGTTACTTGGATATATCCAAAGCCTTTGATCGAGTCGATCACAGTATCCTTCTTAGGAAACTTGAAATGTATGGCGTGACGGGAAATCTGTTGAGCTGGCTGAAAGACTATTTGGAAGAGCTACCCCTTCCCATACAAACTGGGATCCAATGAACTGGAGTGGGTGGCTGAGGAAAAAGACCTCGGCGTCTGGATTTCTAGCAACCTGAAGCCGAGTAAACACTGTCTATCAGTATATCGCAAGACCTCGGCACTGCTCGGGATGCTTAGGAGAATATTTTATCGTTTTACGCCTGAAATTCTCCATATTATCATGAACACGTATATTCGGCCGACAATGGAATACGCGATCCAAGCCTGGTCTCCATGGCTGCAAAAGGATACACAACTGCTAGAGCGTATCTACCACCGCGCGACCAAGCTGGTCATTGGCCTCCGAAACGTTCCCTACAGTGAAAGGCTACGTAAACTCGATTTGTTTGATTTAACTTATCGGCGTATACGAGGAGACCTCATCCTGATGTTCAAGATAATAGACACCCCTAATCACTCTTTAAAACATTTGTTCACAGTTAATTTGGCCCGACAGACCCGACGGAATCCATTGGCCGTTGACATTCCATGTTCCCGCATTAACTGTCGGCGCTACTTTTTTTCAGTCCGCGTATCCCTCACGTGGAACAAACTACCAACATCTGTTGTGGATTGTGGTAACCTCGAGACTTTCAAACATTCGCTTGACGAATACATAAGATCTCACCCAACTTCCCTCATCAACATTTGAGATGCAGATTACAAACAATAGAACATATATGTCATATCATTCCGTTTATCTGTGTACATACACAACACCAATATCCTTTGGTCATTGTAAAGCAAAATGCTTTTTAGACCAATATAACCTTGATTTACCATTATAGACTGTCAATTGTCACCATTGAGCATGCTCTCAAAAAGCCTCTGGAGTGGTCCGTGAGCTTCATATTCTGTGAAAAACTAAAGCGAACTCATCTGACTTTGTTTTAAGCGTTACCTCCTTTAGATGAAGCACACATCTTGACCGTTTAAGAAACCACATCTTGATTAAACCGCTAACGAATGTCCACCTCATTATGAGCAGACTTAGAACCTGAAGTTTGCGCTAAAGGAGAGACCTTGGACGTTTTCTCTCAGTGTCCCTCCATTTAACCAATGAGATAGGTGGAGATAGTTCAGCGGTTGAGGCGCAAACTTACAGACCGGAAGTTCCAGGGTTCGAACCCAACCCCGGCATCTCGGATGTGGCTGCCTAGGCTAAGGCGATTTGACAATTCCTCAGTCCTCGTGGTTTTCCTCAACTGGCATGGCGGCCATGCACCGAAATGTTGCTACAACTGAGCAGTCATTACTTTTTATTTATATAACGAATGAAAAGGCAATACCACTCTGCATAGGATAGTCAAAATTGGTGTACCCGGTGAGGCCTTCTCAGTCACTACTTTTTGTCACTCATCTGTGAATGGTTGAGCTAGATATAGCTCAGTAATTAGGGCGCAAGTTTACTGACCGGAAGGTCCGTGTTTCGAACCGAACCTCTGCATCCCAGCTGCTCCTTTCTAGACCTGAGTAACCGTACTTTCCTCAGCTCTCGGGCTCCCTTCGGATGGTATCGCAGCTGGTTGCCGTAATGGTGTTACGATAAAAAGACTACTTTTGTTTTTGAATGACTCCCATCAACCACCCTCCCCCTCCTCGTTCTATCCCATTCAGACTTGGTACATGACTCAGACAAGAATGATAAACGATTGGTTGATTGAACGGAAAGGAAATGCTCTCAGCGCCTATCAATTCACTTGTCTGTCCACCATCGTCAAGGTGAGTCCTCCCACAACGTCTCTCTAATAATACTATACTAGACATTTTTTCGGTTAGCGGTAATTTTTTATCTGAATTATACACGCGTCTGAGTTTACTGAATCGGTAGTTTTGTAGATCGACACAACCTCTTCACCTACAGTTTACGGGGCGCAACATGAACCGCCCGTTTTCCTAATGATCTCCACCCCCTCGTAACTTAGGACGTCCAAATTCCGGACACGCGTCTCCTGAAGCAGTAACTCATAGAATGTTCACGACCTCTTTTTCCCTTATAATAAACCTATCGAACATCGTGCTTGGCGCGCTCTAAATTTCAAGCTCACAACGTCGAACGACAGGAGAAAACTAGTGGCCTCAACGGTTTTCGACATGCCGTTACACCATTTCAGTGCACAAATGCCATTGTGCTTAGGCAACAGAACTCAAATGGTCTAGCTTGGACTCCGATCACAAGCTTCCCAGCAATTGCCTCGTGCCCCACCTGAATTTTCTTTTTCTTATGTTAATTAGTTAAGAGACACTAGCTCACGCACGTTGTCATGCTCATTGTATCTTTGAAAAAACTGACGATGACAGGCAAACTCTCTTTGAGCTTTAACTAGCATTTTTGACAAACGGTAGCTTCTCTCATATATATGAATAGAGGTAGGACATCTTGTCCAACCCAATTCTTAGTATTCCGCAAATTTTCCGTTATCTCAAGACATATAGCTTGCTCGATTTTCAGGATAGTCTGTCCTAGCTTCTGCTCCCCTCTCGGATGATTGTTGCGACCGAACATGAAACAAACATACCCATACTGTGCACCTTATTTTCCAATGCCCTGAAACACATCCATTAGTTTTTTTCTCGGGGAACGTCACTCAAGCTGCATTTGACTCAGCCTGTGATTTAGTTGCACTCACATAGTCCCTAGTGATACGTTTCGAGCAGGGCTGTCAGCCTGGTAACTTACGTCCATCGAATTTTCTAAATGATCTGACTCAATGAACGGATGGAACCTCTTATGAATTGCCCACTTTAAGAACATTGTTCTCTGACATTTACCTAACTGTATGAAATTTAGTTGCATCAAAATAGTCGAACTCAACAATATTGTCAAACCCAACCTTATTTAGGAATGACAGGAAGGCGTCAACCATATCTGGCAAAATTGCCCGCTTACCTGTTAGTCACTTATATATTCCCACATCTTATTCCCACCCTCACTCCCTTTTCGGACAATCGCTTATCGATTGTAAGACTAGAGAAGATACTTCTTCCACGAATCGGACTCAATTTGGTTGTGTTGCAACCAAGGGCTTCATTCATTCACTGCTACTTAATTAAAACGGCTCAGCAAAACGGGATGATGCCCTCAGTTGTCAATTCGTTGGCGTTTGGACAATGTTGATTCTGTTTTGTCCTTGTCAATGATTAATGTCTTCTTATTCTGCAGCTTAGAAAAACTACAATCATTTCTTGTTTTTGCTGTTGCTGTTGTTTCGTGAAAAAGTTGATGATGGAGTAAATGATCAGCTGAAACACGAAGCCTTGGCTGTCTTATGTAAAATTTCTGCATAAGTGCACAAATCATTTGAACGTGACTGCTTTAGATCTGTAGGGAAGATGATGATGAGATGCAAACCTTGTGATTTCTGAGTGTTGACAGATATGTTCGGATAGATCGCGAAACAAGACCACAAATCAGCGACACCCAGACAACCGATAACTTTTTTTAAAATTTTATTCGTTCGGTACACCGAGTGCAATTTTGATCCGTTCAAATGCCATTTCCCAATAATGGTTTTCGGACAGTAGCATGCGATGTACTGACATCAACACCGCTACCAGAAACAGCAACATTAGTGTCGACACCGAATCTTCACTGCCATACAACTACTAAGTTTGTCTAATTATATTTCAAGCGTTAGAATTACAAGAAAAGAAAGGATGTGAGATGGGATCCAGTATTGGCCTATGTCAAGCGATCTGAGATACCCCCAAGTGCTCAGTCAGACAACCTGGAAAGAAACTGATAACACGAACGCCATTGACACCGATCAGTCACCGTTTGCAAAGTCTCCAGCCAAGCGCAGGAAGGCCACGGGAACTCCATCCTGCAAGGCGTACTGCACCAACAACACCTAACCTCGTAATCTCTTTCACACTCCTATGCCAAGTCATAACTCCGGATTTTCGCCATTCTGAAGGAGGAATGGAGATCAATACTCGTCTCAGTAGACGGTGTTTCGGCATCCGTGGCACATAGCCGAACCACCGTATTTGATCGTGCTGTACGTTTTCTGCGATCGAGATGCTTGCCGCACAGCCAAATACCCATTTTCTAACTACCTCTATATAAATCCGTTGGTGATGTCCATCAACGTCAACGCTTCTGGGGCATCGGTGGTCAAAATCCTGAGGACACCTCACATCCTCTGTTCACAGAGGCCATGTCTCACAACCACACAACAATACAGCTTTTACCGCAGCCTGATACACGCGCTCTTTGAGACCCGGTGATATGCCTTTTTGAAGCAACAAATGACGTAAACTAGCAAACGTGAACTCTGAGATTCGTGCACCGACTTCATCAGAGCTAATACAACTATCGAGGTATGTAAAATTTTCCACAATCTCCAGTGATTCTCCTTGGATTGTAAGGGAATGTTCGGAGAATGCTCATTCTGAAGCATGACTCCGCACTTTCAAAGTGCAAGGCGCATGCCAAAAGATGGTATGGCGGTAGTAGTTAATTCGACAGTGCTTGTGCTTCGCTTTAGTTATCTGTGTATTCCAAATCGACAAGGCTCTCACCAGCAACAATTTGAACACCGCGGTTTTGAAGACCTTCCAGCGTTCGCCTCATTATTTCACCAATGATGAAATTGAACAAGAATGGAGAGCCTGCACATCCTTGTCGGATATCACTTTTAATAAAGACGCTTTTGGAGAGCCCTTCATACACTTCACGAGCCCAGAAGTATGTGAATATAGGGATCGGAATATATTCACAAATTTCTGGGGTGTACCCTGTTGAGCAAGTGTAGTTAACAGCGCTGACCGATCGACAGAGCCGAACTCATCATTGAAGTCAAGGACCACCGAGATTGTGGGTTGTCTGTACGTGTGGTGTTGTTCTAACAGCTGATGGAATGTGAAGGTATGATCAACGGAGGGTGCGATAGACCTCACTTTCACTAGATTCTCTCATGCACGGTGCCGAACGGACCACATAGAAGCGACTATCAACGAGTATCCAGTCAAGTAGAGACGCTTCCGTTCGTTCGCTTATTACAGCACCTACCCTGGAATATTCAGTTGAAGTGGCCTCTACATCACCAGATTTGCACAGCCGAAACCTGGAAGGGAACGAGGGAGCAGTCAATTCAACCACAGTACTTGTGTCCTGTATCCTTGTTTCTGACAGGCAGCATACACCAAGGCAGAGGAAATCGTGCGTACGGACCTGAGCCACCTGTTGTTCTGCTTCATTCAGTATGTGGACATTAAAGGTGGCTAAGTAGAAGCTGCACCTGTGTGGTGCACGGTGAGCAATACGGTCAGTCCTAGTGCTGGGGCCTGCAGAGAGAGTATTCAAATGTGTATGAGGTTAGAGTAGAAGAAGGAAAACCTAAGGGAAAGCGTCAGAAGGGAGGTATCAGTAATAGCATGTTTTGCTTACCCGCCTTGCTCTATGCAGTGAGTAAGTGACCCGATTCATGGCACCACGCGACGGCTGACGTGGGATGAGAGTTTTGTTAGCTGTAACTATCATCGTTGTACGTGAGCTGAGATACTACCAGGGCACCCAGACCGAGATGGGAGGACGATCAGGGTCTCCAACCAAAGCCTTTGGCTCCAAGGCAGCAGTGTTTGGTGGTAAATTCAAGTGCAGTGAACGCTGAAATGCAAGTGCATTGCCATTCTTATAGAATAAGTCGCTACATATGTTCCAACCCCCGAACCGGAGGACCATGAGACTATTTTGGTCATACTACTAACGATTGACCAAGCTGGCATGAGAGTCTCTCTGAGTGTCAGAGTAACACCACCCGGTATAGCTCAATGGTTCATGGAGGTTAACAAACCGTCACGCCACGGTTAGGCCGATTCTCTTTGTGACGGCAGAAAATGCCTTTTGATAAGATTCTAGACACGATCGGCCGAAACAAATCCTTTAACCCAGTTCTGCTACCCTGCTGAACATAACACACGACCATTTGATGGAAGATTTAGAGGATATGCAACCATTTGCCACTTTTTGGCGACAGTAGCTCGGTCGCGAATTACCATTGCTGTGAACAATCTGGTGCTGGCGTTCGTTATTCAGGCTCTGTTCACACCGATTGAGTTGTGTGGGACCAGTGGCAAATTCGAGGGAATCTTAGTCGACTCCTCTATACTTTCTTTCCAATTGTCCATCCGAGAGTCACTCCTGTAATACCTCACTCTGATCACTTCAAACATGTGCTTCAGTCGCGATGCACATTTTTCTTTCTTCATGGTACGGTCGCCCACGAATTCGGAATTTGCTTGTTTAGTTTCGAACGGTGTTGAACAAAAATTACCGTCCGTCCATTTGTGTAATTCCTTCTATATTGAAACACCACAGCAGTTCACTGCTCCAGGGAAACCACTTTTTCCCCATATTGGCTGCTTTGATAGATTCTTTTTAGGGATCGTGTAGATTTAATCATCACTCCTTTTCGTGCACTTCCGATAGTATCACTTTACAGTGAAGCGAGTTTTGCTAAAGTTCGTTTCGCATGGCTGGAAGTACACCAGGCAGAGCTGGTTGCGAATTGAGAGCACCGATGAAGACGGTGTCAACCATAAATGTTCGTGTTCTGCACCCGCGGTTAGTCGATTCTTAGATAAACTTAGTTTCGTAGGGCTTTTTCTGTGTGAATTGTGCTTAAAAATAGTTTGCATTCGATAAGTCCGTGAGTAGCCTATGATATTCTCCAACATGGATAAAGTCTCAAAATCTGTGACTTGGAGAATCAAGAAAACCCACAACTCATCCGCCCAGAAACACACCTTCTTCCACCACTTCGCATCCGATTCATTATTAGTAAGTTCCGCTTTGTATGCCATTGAATTTGCAAAAATGAACGGTTCTTGCAACTGTTATTATCACGAAGGATTGCCAGGAACACCACCGATTGTTTTAATTCATCCTTTCTTATATATCGTGCTTCCGTATTCTCAAAATGTCTACTGTGTTGTTTCTGCCGCAACAGAAAATGTATGCAGACTTCGAGTTACAAGGAATCAGTCCGGATGCACTCGACACTATGGCTTACAAGACCATTACTCAACGTCTTCAGGTTGGTAGACCTAATTAACCACTCTGTGAGGTTTCCTCTTTCATGCACTTCACTGGTAGTTCGCTTATTTCAGTTTATCCAGTCGTCATACACCACTGAGAAATAATTTTTAGCTTGCATTTTAAAATCACCAAGTTTCACTATGCAATTAGTGTACGGGAATTTAATTAAAGCATGTGCTCCGCATTTTTGAGAGCGAGCGATTGCAAACCTTTAGACTCCTTGCCAACTAGATCAATAAAAATACGCCGTAGGTTCTGTCTTACGTAGCGTAGTTCATGGTCCCGCTATCGAACATCGGTTTTGCCGTTTTCTTCTGAAAGTCTTGAATGCAGAACATGGTTTCATTTGTTTTGCCGTGCTCGGGTACCAGTACGTCTTGTTTAGGGGTCAGTTCAACATCGTTGAAAGGTCATCGGGTATTTTTGTATAAGTATGCTGAGAATACAGGTAGAATGCATTAAACTCACAACCTAACACTTCATCCCATCTAGAAAATTGAAAATTCACCAACCGAGATGACATATGAATCTCCTTCTAGGAAAAGGGGGCTGGAGAAGTCTGCTTACAGAGGTTCCACAAGTTCAAATAAAACAGTTGTTTGCAGAACATAAGATATACTTCAATCACAGCACGCTTTATACTATTATTTCACTCCTCAAAATAATCTCTTCCGCTTAGCAGTCTGTTGCACTGTTGTCTACGCATTATTCGACACTGATGGTTTTAAAATTGACGCCCAGCCGCTCGCCCTCCAGTCCCATTCCCTCGGGTTTACACCTGATTAACGGTGTTCAGCTTACGATGCTCGATGCATAACGCATGTACTCTTATCCATCCTGCTTCAGAGGCTCTCGGTGTAACACGATGTGATACGCATACCCAGAAACACGTCATACCTTCATTCTTGCCAAAAAGTTTTCAACTTATTTCTCCCTTGTCAGTGTGTATTGACTGAATTCATCCTACCCTCGTAGTTGTCCCGTGAAATTAGTTTGATGTTATGCGTACGCTGAACTCCCTTGTGGCTTCGATTGTTTCTCAACAAATCGCGCATCTGGCATATAGTCACTTGTGCGAGGTTGTACCAATCTCTATTAGAATCTTTCCTCTACCTAGAAGGATAATTTTATACTGCGTAAGATTTCTGTTCGAGACCCTTCAGCGGCCACCGGTTGTTAGGTGTCATACGGTGGTCCACCATACCACTTACCTTCTGATCCGTGTGGCTATTCAGACACGTGCTTTGTTCCAGCTTAATATTTGAATACTCCATTTGTACTACGAGGCGCTTTTCAGTGAACTTGATAAAGTTTGAATGTAGTGACGGATTTCTAGCTTCCACTGTCGAACTTCTTTCTGGAAAGCGGAGATGATACGTTGGTTTAGAATTTGTTGGCTAAACCGAATCCTAATTCACAGCTTTTTCCATTGACTACTCGGGTTTTAGTTGTGCTAACGATGGTCCAAACACAACCCATGGATATGTATGTTGGTCTAAGGTGGAAGTTTTCGTTGGTTTCAAATGCGACATACTGTGTGTAATTCTGTCCGTTGATTTTCTTCGATAAAAATGTGATGTAACAGTCATCGTTACATTCTATTTCAGATGGAGGAAACGGCACAGGCGGTTCGCCCCGAATCCTCAACTAGTCCAACGCGTTCCATTCTTGGCGGTATCACTAGCGGTCTGAGTGGTTTGAGCACTGGATTTCCGAGACCAGGTTTTCTTGGGAAAGGTTAATTTGACACGGTTCGCTCACGCGCTGCTTACTTGATATCCTGGGGTGTTGGTGATTCGATCATCTTCTGTTAGAGTTTATCCGGCGGACTAACCGTATATATTTTTTTCATCCTACAGCACCCCCATCACTACCGCATTTCAACATAAATAGATATTCATCGGGTTATGGATCTCCCGCTTTCTCCTCTTCTAAATCTGCTTACGTACAACTGATCATTGAGATTTACGAGCTTACCAACCACCGCTATTTCTACTCAGTTTGTATATTTTCCAAGTCGGATTTAGATGAGTACGTACTGTTTATTGGAAAGCTGATTATGTACATTTCCCAGTGCTTAAGGTATGCCACCTTGAACAGTACAACCTTGAAAAATTTTTAGTCGATCGACTTTGAAGGGGAACCTAGCGCCCTTCTCACAGGGTTGACCGGATATACTGTGATGGTCTTTTGTTTGTCTTGTGATCCTCTGGCGCCATTTCCAATCAGATTTACTTTCGTTTGCTTCACGTGTTGAGTCAGCAATGGGTTGCTGAATCGGACCAATTTTACTCTCGCATAAGTCATCAATCTCCATTGTTTAGTATTGTTTGAATCTTTGCTGTTCACTCGATTGGTTTCCTCGATTTGCTTCTCTCCCATCCAGGTCTCACATAATCGTTTATTCATGGTCTCATGTACAATAGCATGAGGGGTAGTACGATGTATGCAGATTATATAGAAAACTGATTTTATCACATGGTTTTGGGGTTATTTTTCATAACTTTGGGTACTCTGCTGATACTTTCGATCGAGTGGTTATGGCAGATAGAACGCCGACTCTCCTTAAAGAGTACTCAGCCCTCGTTCAGGCTTGCACACTCCGTTATTCCGTGTTTCAAATCTATCGACCTAATTTCACTGCTTTCACGTGGACTTCATCCGGAAAAAACGAACGCGTTTCTTTCCAAAGGTGTCCCATGTATCTTGTTCACGTATTGTTTCAAGCGCTCACGTTACTCCCAGTTATCGCGTTCCTGCCTATCGGATAATCGGCAACGGGTCCTCGATGTAACACTAGGTCAAGCTATGAATGCTATCACATTAGACCTCCACCAGAACACTTCGTCTCCGTCAACAAAGGTCAGGCATTGGTCATTCAGATTCATCCCTCCACCACCCATGAAATAAATTAGTTTCTCACGGTCCAAAATACTTATTGCCGAAATTCCGAGAGTCAACTATGTCACAAGCAGGGTACTGAGAAGACGGGTCTGGTATGGATGATTAATGGAGGAAATTTTCACATGACCAGCTTAAAAAAATAAAGCATAGATCAATGGATGTTATTCTTTGTGCCTGGAGTTCGTTCAGCTGTAGCACCTTTTCGCAACAGGCCACCAGAAGGAAGCACGAGGGATGTGATACTGTCATTTTTCCCAAGCCTAGACAGGGGAAGTTGAGGTCGGGTTCGAACCACGGACCTTCCGGTCAATAAATTCGCGCTCTAATCAGTTGGGTCATCTCGCCCTCTGTTTGGAGTTCACGGCATTTCGTAATCTATCCGCACATCCGAGCAGCACACCCTGTCCAGTAAATACTCGAATCTACCCAAACTGCTTGGTTTGTTCGACAGTATCGTGTAGACCGATAAACTTGCCTGCTATCTTACCGTCAAGAGTTTATCACCTAAAGTTCAAATTGGTAATGTGGTGAAATATTTCCGGTCAAATTTTTCTTATTCTTATTTTCTTATTCTTATTTAGTATACCTATTTTAGTATACCTATCCTGCTGTTCTCTGGTGATGATTATTGTGAGTTCTGGATGATAATAGATCGTCCGTTATGCTCTCTGTCACCATCACGACAACATTCTTCTCGATATCGCGACGAGTGAAACGTGTTGTAATATTTGTGGATGATCCGGTCGCATGCTCGAACGATGGACTAATGCCAGCATGGTGCTGATTGTGATTGCTAGCCATGAATAATCACTGAAATACCGCACTTCCTGTAGCCAGCAGTAAGTAGGTTGACGTAAAATAATCAGGTTCTAAGGTGTATAGTTTTGTTATCCAAAACACTGGGTAGTGGACAGTACTTTAGGCTGCTGAATTAGCTACATACCTGTTCACACCATGATCTGGCACAGAGACGATCCTAAGTTTAGTGACGCTGGTATGAACCAGTTTCCACAACACTACAAGGGAAACATAGTTGTTGGATTGTGCAGTATCAGGAACGAATCAGAAATGAACGAATTCAGCTGTGATAATGACCACACTACTAGCAATACGACAGGTTTTGTTGAGAGGGCCGAATGGGAGAGACTTGTTGCTAAAAGCATCTTTTCTCATCTAACCAGCCAGTATAGTGATGATCATGGCTTTTCTTTGCAATGTTAGACAGTTTTTGTGGAGATGATTCTCTTTGTAGCGGATTACACGCTCGAGACTTCCTGTACTATCAATATACTTAGCTGACTGTTTTATCCACTACGCGGCAAAAGTATTGGTAAGTTCGAATCGATTAGTAAAAAGACCCTAAACTATATTGCAAGGTGTTCCGCTCTACATTGACGACCGAACTGAAATTACTGGAGTTTCGGTATTTTTCATCAAGTATGGACAAGCGGTACTGGCAAATGGCGCTGTGGGTAATTCACACATTCTACAATACCATCAATCTGTCCAACTTTTTGCCGCGTGTACTACTTGTAGTGTGGTTAATCCAACTGCATTATTATTGCTTCCGGAACCGTTGTTCTTCTTCAAGTGGTCTCCTGTGTGATCAGTTCACTTATCGCACGCAACGTCTTGCTTTTCGACTTATCGAATCGGTGGTCATCCTTTTTTGTTCGTTCTCTTGCCAACGTTTGGTTCACACACTATCGTTCCACTAAAACAATAGAAGTATAGGAGCAAACAGCGTACGCAACAGAGGGTGATTGCCAAACACGGATAAAGGTCTCTGAAAATGGGACGTCAGATGTAGCAGATGTATCTCAAAAGATAAAAACTGGCTACGTGGCGCACAACTGGAACGGCGACGTGAGCGCAACCAATCGCATACAAACCATCAGATGAATCGACTTTTATCTGGAAAACTCATGCAAACGGAATGAAGGGTAATAAACATTCGCATATGAGAAAAATTTCATATTTTAGAGCACATCATGGAACCAGAGGTACCTTGTAGTTTCGGTCACTGTGTCGTGCACCGAAAATTCAGTAGTGCGGACAAACGATGCCACGAAATTGATTACCGATTGCGGTTTATGGGTTCTCCCACAGTTAGAAGTGGAAAGCGGTTGTCCAAAATTTTTGTGTGTGGTATTACCATATGTTAAATACACAAAGCTCTGGAGGCCACAAAAGAACAAAGATTGCCCGGACTCTGAATGCGATGAAACCGTATACAGTGAACCGACTGAGTCTTTAAGAATATTTTGTTCAGAAAACAGTTTCTAGGTGACAGGGGAAACACGAATGTTCGCTTGCGTAAAACCTCTGTGGTTGTTTTGCTGGATGGTGAGATGCAAAATATACAGCTGGAGGTAGTAATGAAACTGTGGAATAGATGACAAACCGGTCAGTTATTATCGGCATTACGGATTTGTTTGCAGCTGTACGCGTGAGAGTAAATTCTCAACCGGAGGAAAAATGCAAACAACTCAAAATCCACTGAATTATCAACGGATCCGGTTTACTAAGTAAGTAAGAAGGGTAGTGGGGCGCTGTGTGCAGTTGGGATGTGGTACATTCGTTGAGCACCCAGAAAGATGGTCCCATGTCCCAGATCTCCTGTCATTTCAGAATTCAGAAGATGCGCACCGACGATGGGGATTGCTCTGCTAGATTTGTTGGAATTTTACTAAGGATCGATGTGGTTAACTTCATTAATAAACGAGATAAATCGAGCAACTCATACTTTCAACTAATTGAGCTTTCTGGGAGTAGTTCCTAGTTGATGCACTGAGTAGCCTTAAATGTCACTGGGTTTCATGTCTTTGGAGTGTGAAGAAACCTCCGGTGTTTGACACAGGAAATATTCGAGTAGTGATTGCGTTGCTTCAAAACGAGATCACTGTACGATAGCGAAAGATAATGCTGATATTGTGTTTTGCCGTGAAAACGAAGGTAGCGAACAAAACTTGCTTTGTGTTTCTCTTGGCTAATGCATCAATTTTTATTCTATACCAGAAGTGACGTGGAAAGGTTACGTAAAAGTCACGTGTACGTGCTGCTTGTAGAGAGAAAAAGAAGGGAGAGGGAATTGAATGGGATGTACATGGGTCAGTGGGTTAGGAATCACATAAAGGATGTCAATATCATATGACTTTGTGGAACCAGATTTTTCGCAGGCCAGGTCGAGCTCAAAAGTCGCTCGTTTCTTTTGGACGCCAAGTTGTGAATCATGCCGTCGGGTTCCAGTCGCTTATGTGATCGGTGATCTGAATCGTGTCAGTTGTGATTGGTTCGGAGGTACCCGGTATACCACATCGAAGGCAAGCCCTTTTTAGATGACATGACCAGTGTAGGCCAGATAAGACAGTTGCATTTGACCTCAGTTTCTTCCGCTTCCTCAGACAACGTCTTCATGTATTATACAGTGACTGGTTGTGCCATCGAATGCCACTTTTACGTTGCAATCTAAAAATATACAATAATGATATAGGCATTTCCAATCTTGAATACTCCTTGCTCACGCAGCACAATTGGCCATCCGCTCAAACCCATAACTTTTGACTCCAGTGTGTTGTTTGAAGTTCCATCATATGGTGAAAAATGTCACCGGATGAAGTAACCTTGACAACGATTAAAGCCTACTTACGCGTGTGCGGCTGTACTCCAAGACAAAAGATATTAAAATCAAATCAATGGCTTTCAAATCGAAATATTTCGCGACTTTAGCTAGTGGTATGTGGCTGTATACGTATAGTGTTACGTCTTAGGCGATCGACGAAAGCAAGTAAAATCTCCTGTAGGAAACGATGCAGTTCAAGAGCGGGTGGTTTAGGAATACAACCTTAGCCCTGACGAACAACCTAGAGAAAGTCCACAGAAGCACAAGACACACTCGTCACTCAGTTCACCAGAAATTTGCCTTTTGGTGGTATCCCCCGAGTGAACAGATTCTGACAGGTTCACCACATTCCGACCTTTCACAAATGAGTGTGGTGGTCTTTCACGTCACTATGGATTGCTAGTTTGCCAAAATCGGAACGAAACGTCTGTTTGGGTTCGATTTTCCAAGAAAGTCCCTGCAACCCTCAACGGTGAAGAGTTCACCAATGTGAAGCTTATCGTCTTTGCAGACGAAGCCCAATTCTGTAAACTCATTCTGGAGACCATATCTGCCAAGTTGAGGTGCATTTACAAAGGAAATCTAGAAGTGTCCAGCTTGAAACAAACGTGACAGTATCAAAATTGCATATTCTAATAAACTCAACTTGGCAAGCTTTTTTGTTCCAGAATTTCCCAGGTATTCTCTCTAGCACCATTTTGTGGCGGATTTGCTGCAGTTAAACTCCGGTGATGCTATGAAGGGACCGGATAGTGTTTGGTCTTCAAATCGGGGACGTGCGTTTCATAACCAACAGTTGTCTCGTCTACACAACCCTTCAGCTATGAAGTTTCAATTGGGTTGAAAAAGTGAAAGAAAGTATCCAGGTCAGTTAACCGACATACCAAGGGTATCTTGGTGTTAATTGCTACAGTGTCAGTCACAAAAAATGAGACATAAAAGATATAGCCGGGCGATGGTATAACTCATTATTTGGTGTCAAATCGCCCGTCGTCTCATCATGCGCAGCTACACATTGGTGCTGATGCGGCACTTGCTGAATAAATGAGCTGTCTGCTTAAGATAGGTTGAGTCGTCATATCGATTGATATATCTGCATGCGTGAAGTTTGAGCTTGATCCAACTGTCTTGTGGCAACACTTTGCAGACGTAAACGTTGAGCAAGTACTAGTTTAGGCATGGAATAATGCCTAAATGATCAACAATGGGCCGGTTGAAGGTCTGGTCCCCAGACCGTAGAACGGGTTTAGTTGGAGTATACCACCCTGAGCCTTGGAAGCAGATGCCTGGTCAATCAGACAACGGATAGTGGGATTAGCTTGGGAGACTATGCTCGCAGCTGATGAGTGAGCACTCTGAACTGCCTGACTGCGGAAAACCGGTCCAGTCCAAGAAATCTTTGAATAAGGCGCAAATGTGCTATTTTTGATGCTATTGCACACACCAGATGCATTTGTGGCCGCATCGGGCTCTTGGAAAAAATTTTCCGCAACTGTATTGGTCAGGGTCGGCCGTTGGTGTACGGTAGTGTGGAGACTTCAGAGCTAACCACTTCTAACTCCTTTTCCTCAAAGGAAGGTAGCATCTCTGCTTTCTTACATATAGGCATGCTGGTAGCCTGAATGAGGCATGTTGCTGCCTTGTATGGATAATCCTCTTTTACCTTTCTGGCATGGTTAAAATACGGGAAACAAAGTTCCATCCGGTATATTCGGCGGGATCATCGTCTCAAGGTGGTAGCCTGCCTACCAGGTCTGGAACAAGACCCTGCACGGTGACTGTTCAAAACGCATACCGAATCGAGAGACCACGCATGGTATTTTATTTACAGTAGGTTGTATTGAGCGACGTTGATCGAATGGCAAAATGGTGTCCGTCTGATCCAAAATTAGGAATATCTTTATTCCAATGCCCAGGTTTATGGTTCACGGGAGATGATGTACACTTCGGGAGCAGCCGATGTTATGGACCCTTTCCCGAATGGAACTAACGTGTAGGCGATCATATCGCTCTAGCGGGACCGACCAAATGAGTTTTATTCGTGGACTTTGATCCACCCTCATTATTAAATGGGTCGCAAATTCTCTGAATTTTTCAGTGACAATGAACACATTCTAAACAAACAAAAATTTGTTGCAGTCCTTACGCAGATTCGACAGAAGGTAACCATGGAAAATCTATTTAAAATGTCCAGTTCCATTCGAATTGATTCAAAATGTTTCGCGTATTTGATGAAGTCTTAATATTCCGTTTCTCTTTTTCCGTTGATCACTACCCTCACTTAGACGAACTGACAAATAACTGTCGTTTCTCTCTCGACTGAATCACGGGGCAGCAATCAAAACAAATACTATGTATAATCAATCACGCCGCATGGCTCACATCGCCGAGTGTACGGACAGCTGAAGCAGGATGTCCACAACTTCGTTTACCCACCACCTTGCCCACCAATTAGGGTAGAAAAGTCGCCACCACCGTAGAACAATTATGTATCAAGTACCGTGTCAGAGAGTGGAGGGACGTGACCGGCCGCTATTGAGTGTCGTTCAGTCAATGAAGGGAATCACATGTAATTACATAGTCTCTTTTAAAGGCATTAACAGTAGTCTCAAACAGTTTGCATAATGGGTTTCCTAAGGTAAATCAAGGTAAATCAATAACTTCCTCATTACGTAAAAAAGCACTGCACATGCGTGGAATTAATTGTTGCATTCATTCATAGCAGACTAAGTGGACATGTCCCAACTGCTGTGATAATAACATCATCCCGGACTTCTCTCCACATTATGAGGGTTATGATCAAAGTGCCTTTTGATGCGTCACTGTACCGTTCGCATGTGGTCAATCACAAATCTAGGGGAAACCAGCCACTTTGCAAGGACTAGTGACCAACTGGCAGCCCTTCATACGGAGAGTCATCAGTTTGCGCAAGGTATGAAGAAACCACCGAAGAAAAAATTATTTGATTGAGCAATCCCGGTTTACTGCATGATTTGTTTCATGGATTCGACTGTTCAAGTAGGCTGACAAAGCATCAAAAGCTGACGGTGAAAAGTAAACTTTTACAAACAGCTATTTTATCTACAACTCACGCAAACGAATGAGGCAAAAGATTGGTCACGGAATGGGGACTGAAAGAAATGGAGCGAACAGGCTGGAAGTGCGAACACTCCTATTTTTTCACACTGCTGGCTTTGGATTTCAGTTGCTCCTCGAATTTCTTCGCTTTGAACAGTTCGAAATCCCGTTTTTTATCGAAGAATTCAATCTAAAAATAAGTGATAATAGAAAAGGAAACGTTAGTGTGTGAGAGAAAGTGACAAACCAAGCAACTGGAAGAGACGACCTAGAGAGGGGACATTAAGAAAAAGAACTGAGAAACGGAACAATGCAGAACCGATCGCACTCAGTTCAGCGGAAGAATCGACAGTGCGAAAACGACGAAACTGCATGCGATGTGTCAAATTCCAGCAGTGCTTTTCGTCCCAAAAGCCGGTGTGAATGCTAAACAGTGCTACAACCCAAAAACCTCAGCCCTGAAGTGCAGTGACAAATCATAAATCAAGGACGCTAGTCCACATTACGCCAAAGTAACTTGAATAAACCGCACCCATTCTTATCCGTCCTTTCGTACATTGTACACTTCCTCTAAATTTTGACCAAATCAGTTTTTCCTGTAAGTGGAAGCAAGAATTAGCAATAAGTGGCCTACCAAAGTTTCGTTTCAGCGAGCTATTGCCGGTAGTTAAGGTTCTTAGTCAAAGTCAACTCCAGTAAACCCCTGAAGAACGCATAAACATCGCTACATGCACACGCATCGCGCACCTTGTGACTTACGCATTGATTAAAAGCACCGGAATGTAAGTCAGCCTGCCAATGGTACCAGTGGGATAGACGACTTTCAATCGATATTGTGTCCTTTAGTTGAAGCTAATTATGCTAAAAAAAAAACGAGAAACAACCTGCAGCTGTTTCGCTCCTACTGGAAATTGTCAACAGTGTGCAGCTCAAGAAACCCAGAGTTTCGAACTCGCGACCTTCTGGCCAGTGGTTGAACAGTCGATGAGTTCTCACTAAAAGACGATGTATCACGTTTAGAAACCACATCAAGTGGTCACGTGTTGACTGACTCCTCGAGTGACGACTTCTCAGATGAACTGTCGTATCATGAGGCTGTGATGTGAGCAAGCGCCAGTTCAGTTCAAGATACTCCGGCAGACGGGCCTTTCAACTCTCCCAGCTGCTCTTGCATCTAGGAGAACACGGTTCAACAAAGTCATCAACAATCTTAGCAAACAGCAGCAATTTCGGCTTGAACGACAAGTCCGACAGCTTTACCCACGTGGACGTCATGAGTAAGTCCATAAGCTTATGCGAGCGCACATAATGAACACAAATAAAGCAACTCGCATTCTAAGGGTTTGGCGCCAATAAACATATTAGATGCAGTCAATCTCCCTCACACTTCTCTGGTGAGGGTGTCGGTTTAGTTAGTAGTTCATTTGAATAATCTAGTCAAACAAACGGGATTGCACAGTATATTGCTTGGAAGACAGCTTGTTGTCGCACAAATAGAGGAACAATAATTTCGACCGGATCACAGTACCAGTACTTTGATACTCTCGACACATCCTTCGAAGATTACTTCACTCGGACGAACTTTAAACCGCGGACCGACCGCAGTTTTGGGATGTTTCGTACTGCACCGTACTGCCTACGTTGAGGTAGGCAGATGCGCCTTTACGAAGGCTGTGCCTGGAATGGCTGAAAAGGTCTCCGTAATATTTACCTTCGACCGTCCGGCGGCTGTATTTGGTCGGGCACATGGACATCCGATGAACAAACTAAGTGCATTTGGTTTCTGGTTGTCCACTGTGATATGACAGTCTTATTGCGCACGTCCAACTGCTCACAGAAATTCTGTCAAGCAGGGTGTTTTGGCTGCCATACACAGAGTGATTCCTACGCCAATGAGGCCACAGGGTGCCGTTACAGAATCACCTTTTGGGAGTATTATTGTGGTTAGACATTTATTACAGGAGAACACCATGAGTCACAGAGTACGTCAGTTTGGATGGCCGCAGAACCATTGTGCACCAAATGCTGATTCAAACAAACACCAGTAAAATGCAATAGAATAAGTATTTTCTCACCCAAGTCTTTGGACATTTTGCCTCATATTCTGCCCTCTGTCTCGAACACCGTTTTTGCACTGCCACATCATCCAAACTCTCTCTCCCAGTCTGTGCTGTGCTGACGATAACACACTCCCAATAGGCGTCACGGGCTGCCCAACATTGTTGCCGTTGTTCCTTGTTGAGAATTTTGCTCATACTGAGCGTAAGAGTCAGAAAGAAACAGAAAAAGCAGTCACAAAACCCAACCTATCAAGTAGTCTGAATGCTCCGGGTAGAGTACGTGTTCCGAATTGCTGCTGGCCAGATGGACAAAAGGCAACGTAATTTTGAAAGAGAACCTGGAATGAAACACAAAAGAACGTAAGTGATGGGAAAAAGGTAGGAAACTTAGTTGAAGTAGAGCGTGTGCTTGAGCGGTGGGCAGGTGCTTGTCCCACACCAAAGTAGTGTTTCTAAGAGGACAGTTCCGTGAATCGTCCATTGCAGAGTCCCCCTATAGATTACCTCGGTTAACGTGACAAGTAGACAAACGACTTGTCTGTCGAATTCAATCTCAGTCCTCTCGAGGAAGCATCCAATCAAGCTTTGAGAAATTTCAGTCAAATACCAATCTAATGCCACACCAGGTGATGTGAATCGACAGTGTTCATTTTAGGAAAAAACGGGTAAAAGTAGACAACCGAAATGAAATCGGATGGAATATCAGCCATAGAGCAGTAACCTACGAAGAGTAAGCTGACAACAAAGTAACACAGAGAAAAAACACACTTGTAAACACGGTGAGGACGGGAAAAGGATAAATGAATTAAATGGTAACAGATTAGTGAAGCAATACTCGTTGCCAGTCGGCAGTCTTATAAAATGTTCGGTGGTGAAAGATCCCGGCTATTCTCAACCGATCCGTATACTCACTGATGTAACTGTACTCCCACACATAGAAAGCAACGGTTCAGTTTCCATACATTCTAACAAGTTGACATAAATTTCGCAAAGCAGTTGCCTGAATAAGAGTGTATGATTAGATTTTATTGTGTGAAAAAATTTTATCACCTGATTACCCCCAACTACTTAAAAGTAAACAAAAGAACTCCACCTGTATCAATCACTACTGAAAGTATAGATTAACCATCTTGTTAGCACCCCTCTCCCTAACAGATGGACTAATTTTCAATTACTTCTACTAAACATTGTTTGAATTCGCATCTGGGACTTCGTCTCAAACTGAGACGCTTTTACTCTCATCAAACTGACGTCCTTACATTGACGTCACTAGTGGTGCCCGGTAGTCTTCGGATACCGATTTATCAGACGTGGATGTAGAGAATCGGACACGGATTAAGAGCACTTAAGTGCAATGTGAGGCGGCGTTTGCGCTCCTCGTTAGGTTCAACCCTCTGCTCATACGTTGTCCACTAGTTTGGATTTTGTGAACTTTGGTTTCCACTTTAGATTTACTAAATACCCATCTCCCATCACCCCAGATGACGATACGAAAGCCCGGCCCATGGTGGAAATCATACAAGGGAGTCACTAGTGATGCTGGCTCACGTGATGCTGTTGCTCACGGGTCAAGCGGTGCAGTATTGAATCAGCTTCCGGCTTACCGCACCGTTTTTCATTGTCATACAATTACTACCAACAGAGGATTTTAGTGAAGAGGACATATACAAAATTATCTGGCATCACCTTTTCATATTTTCATTTGCGAAGTGTAATTGTAGAGCCTGGCATTTGCCAAACCTGATAGGTTTGTCCAAATCTCTCCCACCCCAAATGAACAAACAATAATTACAGTATGTCACCTGGAAGCACTAGACTGATGGGGAATATAATTACCTGATGATTCGTTTCCTGCCGCGCGTGGGCTAGAAAAACACGACTCTCAAAGTGTGAAAAGTGAACGTCGTATTCATAACAAACCTTAAAGGGGGGAAGTGACTTCACTCAATAGAACAATACGTATCTGTCAATGAGCAAATCTGATCGAACTCGTTAGACACTTATTCCCATGAGTATCTTTCAAGTCGTGTGCCAATGAAGTAGTATATGAGGAATACGTCTGCGTCGGATGTGAAAACGGAACTAAATTGGCGCCCGTCTTTCTGATAAATAAGACCGAATGTCTGACGTCCAACTGGTCTTTGGATAACTGGAGAATAAAGAGAAACCAGACGATGTTATTTTCATCAGACCCAGACAGCTCTGAGGCTATAAAACCAGGTGTGTTGTGAAAATAACCTGTTGGTTACCATGTATGGAACAAGCAACTAATGTTACCTCGCGAGGTGTTCGTTTCAGACGGGTGTTGAATAAGACGGACCCGTTTCGATACCAGCGCAGATTCGTAGGTTGGATGGTACTACCGCCAAAACTTGAATGCAACCACCTTCATCAGAACATAACAACTCAGTCATCCCTGTGCGGTTTCCAGCAAATAAGCTCAGAAGTTCCCGATGAGGAAGAACTAGTCAGGGTACGCCATGGGAAAATTCAATGCTGCTAGTCTATAGTACATACTCAAGATGTCCTCACTGCATGGGGCCCAAGGAGTCAGGTTGCCAATGCTGACCTCCTCAGTTGTTACCTATTTCTTTAGGTGTACCGGTGAAGCATCCTATGTCAATCACACGGCACGGCAGCTGCCCATCATTATCCGGGAGCCCCAAACCCCTAGCTGAACGTTGACAATGAGTTATTAAAGTTGCCATCCCGCCCAATATTAATTACTTCTGTCTATTAGTTGAAACAGAGCTTAGTAACCTAGTGATCTTAATACACATGTATCTCTCCATGTTTTCTCCTCCTGGCAAATTCGTAGAGATCTGATGAGAGTAACTTAGTCGCTCAGTCATGCGTGTGACTCTGTGGCAATAAATCTGGCACTTTCTGTTGTATTTTCCATGATTCAAAACAGGTACTTTTTCCATTAAAATGGAAAAAACATCACACGTAAATCGAACTCGAAATCACGACCCACTATCTAAGAAGAACAAGTGCCGATCCATCCCTGTCACTTCAGTTTACCTAATTTTGTAAATCACTTTTTGTATAAATGGTTCCATGGAATCTCGAAGATAATATTCTCACCAATACGTAGTCAGTCGCAACCACTTCATGTGTGATCTGCTAGCGTACGTAACACATGAACGGTCATTTGCTGTTGGCACCAGTAGGTATCTTCCAAGCCTCTTCCCTAGATTGACATGCTGACCTTCGCACTAAACCTCCTACGTACGGCTTGTACCCTAACTTGATGGGCCGCACCGACAGCCTCTTTAGGAATCATGTGATTCATACGTATCTGGACAGGCTTCCTGCAAGAATGCGCCATATCATCTGAAGGATAGGATTTATTCAGTAGTATATTTTCGCTCCACAGGGAAGTCTCGTTTGTTATTGTAAGCATCTGTGCACTTCCTGACAATATCGTTCATCATCCGGCTGCAACACGGACTTGCGAAGTCCGCACATAGACCACTCACATCTTGAACGTCCGTTTTACTAACATTGTTTTGCTCTGTCTGACTTGCAGCTCTCTGAATCTCGACCGAATTTATCTTCGACGAGCGTTTTCTTGTAACCTGTGCTGGTCTTCATGTGCAAATTCATTTGCGAAAACGCTACTAATTTCGATTTTTCTTCCAGTTCGAAAATGTTGTGGATGCCATTATCCCAAAAAACCGCTTGTTGTTGAATTACTGCCAAAGTTATTTTCCAAAAAATGTGAATTTTTGCGCCACTTCATCTATCTTGCACGTTTCCAAAAAGACCGCGCCTCTCCAGCTGGTGAGTTGCATTTTTTGTGCTACCGCATTTATCATTCTCCAAGGTCGTTCAAAATATATAGAGGTTGCTCCAGCTGTACTGTCTTTGGTTGAGGAAGTGAAAGCTCTCCTCTGAAGGTCCGCTCTTCGCTCTGCGCTAGGATTGGTTGGGCTTGCGCCATAGCTTGGGATTTGCGTGCTCATTTTCTCGCAGCATAGTCGTCGATCGTACCGTTCAGTTCGTAACATAGAGTGCCTGACACTACGTCTTTCGGCATAAGAAGCCCGAATTCGTTCCTACCTAGAGTGTTGTCGCCAGAGACGGGGCAGGACTCGCATTCTTTATATTTTGATACTCCGCCAGGTTGAGGCCATTCTCGTCTTACTCTACCTTAACTGATAACCTCCAATCGCATAACCCTGACGAGACGTAGCACCTCTGTCCTCATTTTGTCACTACTGCCGCGGCAAATGCTCCTCTCCAAGGTCGTTCAAAATATATAGAGGTAGTTTCTGACGTTCAGCTCTCCCGATTGCATCATCCCCTAGCTTGCAGATGATCAGTAATCGCCGTAGTTAGTTTTGGTGGAACTACACGTAGCTCAGAGGAAGAACAGTTCACAAAACGAATGAAAGTTCCGTCTGAAAATTCATCACCCGCGCAACCATTCAATATGTGAGTACGTGATGTGGATTCCATGGTCAAAGTACAAGTGACACAATACCCTATTTGGATGCGAGCTAATCACAACACTGATGACACTCATGGCCGAACGGTTAAGTGACCGGCTGCCAATCGGGATGTCGATGGCTCAAAATTCCCTAGAGTTTCGTAAGATGCGCACTGCTGATTATTCCTAATGAGGATGAACAGTTGTACAGTGCTTCTCAGCTTTTCAGCATTGGCTGCACTTAGGGGACGAGATCTCCACTGAATATTGTGGATAAGTATTGAATGGGAACGAAACATTCACACTCTAAATGCTACGCTTAGACTAGCTACTTAGCTAGTTTATTTGTGCGCTAAGCCTTTATTTATAGAAGACCCCATGGGAAAGTTGTCTAGTTAATGTCGGCTTTCCCTGAGGTGACGCCAGGCTCAGTATCAGGTATCTTAGTACCTGAAGCGTTATCCAGCATTCGCACTTCTTTCCCCTTGTCAATGGGTCACGTTTCAATATGATCGGGAAGCCGATAAACACCAGTGTCGACCGGTAAACTACGATCAATTAAGATGATGAACTATTGTGGTGTACACCAACGACCAGTCCACAGTCCCAAATAACCATCACTGGTAGAGAACTGCTGCATTGGACCTATGGTTGTAAATTGAAAACAAAATGCAAAACAGTTTGTAGAGGCCATAAAAAGTTTTCACAACACAGACACTACCCGATGGGCGACAGTGGAAGAATGAGTGCAGCGAAGGAACCATTTGTGTATTAAAAGGATAACCTCCAATACAAGCGCGCTGACGTGCATCGGAAGTGTTCGGGACGAAAATAAGAAACCAATCGATTCAGATTCTAAAAAGAGAGGAAAAAGAAAGCTGGACATTAAAACCCATGCGTACGTGACGAGGAAACATGTCATCAAAAGTTAAAAGTGTTCATATCAATACGACAGAAGTACAAAATCACTCACTTCTTTACAATTTGTACAACATCCTCATCAAGCAGAACATGGTCCTTGCCCACACGTTGTGGCTGGTGTTTCACAGAGGCTCCCCATACATAGGCACTGTTTTGGAAAACGGTGAAACACCATGCTTCATTGAGTGACACAACACAAATGCTGCTATGGTATAGCGCCTACCAAAGTGACAGTCCAGATAATAGGAAACACTCCAAGTAAATCGGTGACGGGACGAATTTGACTCGACAGAGATAAGTGATATTAATGGGAAAAATACTTAATTCCCGAATACTGATGAATACTCATGACTTAGTGCATCTCACTTCAATACCAGTAAATCCTGAAATTCAAGCGCGGTGCATAACCCGAGGAGCCCTAAAACTATGTATGTGGTAGGGATGAACCAGGGGACCTTTTCAATTCACCCAGTCTATGTCCGAGAATCTTGGCATGCCGTTAACACCCAGAAAGCAAACGGTTCGCCTACTGTGCCCACAGATAAACCAATCGACCTGTTTTTCCCTCTGGTCTAGAATCGTTCTACGAATGGGAAAAGTGAAGACCAGTATTACAGATTTACAACGCTTGGATCGAAGTGATAAAAGGTTTCCAGCGATTCAGCGCACCGCATTTCTTAGAACTGTTGGGAACATCAAGGCAGCAATCGTAAGGTATTTAGAACGGCTTTCGAAGGAAAAAGGTCCTCAAGCGGACTGGGTTGACTGTACGCTACAGACTATGCTGGGATCCTCATGGCCTTGGACTGCCAACTGAGCGAACAACCCTTCTCGTTCAACCGTGCGTTGAGTGGGAGCGCGCCAAGGAAGGGTTGGTTGGCAAAGAAACGTGACAGCCACAACAAGCGTCGGAAACTATCGTCTCCTCGGGAGAGTACCTCGAGACATGACACACTAACACACCAGTCACGGAGCCCATAGCGCCCATGCACCCAAACCATTATCCACAATGCGTAGCTCCCCATCCTGATTCCCATTCTCATAACACCACTCTATCACTATCGGTTTTACAGCCCAAGGTTGCTAGCCATCACCCCAAAGCGTAGCTCTACCCACATTTCCAACAAAATGAGTGAATAGAACTATTGCAGCCAGAAACAACAGATAACACATATATTGTTCTAAGATATTGATGGTTCTGTCCGGGAGTGTAATCAATACCTAAGTAGGATTTTATTCGGCGGTGCAAATCTATCCGATAGAACATCGCGCAGGCGACCCTGCTACTCCCGTCTGATGACCACGAACAAAGCAGAACAGACAGCGGACAACATTCTTAGAACCGTTCTCATCCCGAAATGCTGTCATGTATAGTTTGAGCAGTGATATCAGTTTTTTTAGTTAATTTGAGCATGGCTTTAATGGGTAACTTCATATATTCTCATGTTAATGTCTCGGTATTTCTCAGAAGGCATCCTTATGGAATTCTTGACATGATCCTGCGGGAATCGAGGCGCCAATCGAAATACGAGGACGGCTGCACGTCAGGGGCAGAAATCAGTGGCAGGTTGAACAAATCTAGACCATTGAAAAGCCGGGGTCAAGTTCAAGCCTTCCTGTCAGTAGGCCTTCGCCTTTAGACTAGAACGACCGGATGGTCCCATAGAATCTTCGCGTTCGCTTGAAAATGATTTACTCCCTTAACGGTCACGAAATTCCCTCGAAATTTCGTGACTTTTCCGATTGCTTGCCTTCTAACGTTCCCTCCAATGCTCATTCCAATCAATGGACCTGCCTGTGGATGCCGGGGGAGTTGAATTCACTATACGGGAAAGCGACAAGTGGTGTGCTCGGATAATGGTGATCATATGATATTCGTGAATGTCCATTACTTATTAAATCACATTGCACAGTGCCACGAGGCACATACGGTGCGAGAATCCCTACTGACAGCCTGGGGTAAGTAGGCTTTAGGGTGAACTGGATCCATCAACGATCAAATGTAGTTGCATTTGTTCCTATAGTACAGACTAATTAGTCTAAATGAATAATTGGTGGTTCCAAGGCACCTTCTCCAGTTGTTCCACCGTTAGCCAAAGAGTTACCACCTGTGACGTGCCAGAACCTCTCTTTAGTGGGTATTATCAGACGGTAAAAAAAATAAAAATCCCACTTTCTAACACCACCTTCTGTGGCATTTTTCACTTACCGTGCTTAAGCAACGGACTCACCCATTAGGTAGACCAGAATACAATATGTATACACTCAACCATAGCGAACCACGTGCTGACGCGCATCCGCAGTCCCTGTCCAAGACGAACCAATCGGGTTGTACTCACCGACCGCGTGTTTTTGTTAACGGTGTAGCTGAATAAACACCCTTTGTTTACTTACTTCCACACAAGTACACAAATTTGCCTGGTGGCCGGAGTTCTCACTTTAACAAGCGTATCAACATCTGCTTGCCTTGAGGATGTGTCAAGCACTTTTACGTCTCGCCATCATTACCAACCTCACAGGGGAAATCTATACCACAAACAACACGACTGGTGACTCAAAAAGGATTGATTATATATATCAGTGTAATCCCAAACTCCCACCTAGATGCATCGGTGTCTTGAACGTTTACGGCAACCTAAGATGCAGTAAACTTCCGCAATAACTGACGACCCATTAGGCTGACGTCTGGTCCGTCCAACATGCAAAAATGTTTCAGCGACGCGGTACTAACGAAGAATTAGTAGTTGGAAAACCACTCAATTTTTAACGATACGAACGAACAGGATGGGTCGGACGCCCTTCAGGGTATAGGGGGTAGTGAAGCCTCGATAAATACAGTACCCCTCAAATTCGCTTGTATCATTGCTTCGTTAGGAATAGATGTCTATAGACTGCATTTTCAAAACGAATTTTCGATAGTTTGCCAGGCATTTGAACATGGTCTCGGTAAAGTTTGGCAAAAGATCGGTAGAATGCTCACTGGTCAATTGTGCAACAATAGCTGTCTACAAATACACATTGATGATTCAGCCTGGTAGTCTAGAAGAAACCCCGTGGATTGGTTCATCGTCCGCTTCAAAGCCAAACCGACCTGGTAACCTAGTAATTTCGCCGAAGGAAACTGCGTAAAAGAGCGGAACGTTAACCAGCGATAAACCCACCGATTCTCTAAACAGAATTTGTCACTGAACAACCCCCTAGAACGTCCGCCTACAAAGGTCGGGCTTCGCATATATTCCGCAGTATCATCCGACAGCGATCTTTGACGTAGTCTTGCTGATGGGGAAAAAAGCCTTGATATTTTGAAGATCGGCAAACTGAAGTAAAAGGAAACCTTCCCTCGCAAATTTACTTGAGACATTGTAGGGTAGGTCCACTGCAGTCTTGACTGGATTTCCCAACCACGCCAGTAAGCGAGTTATTTCATGTATGTGACCGGATAACTGAGTGTCATCAAAGATACACAAAAGGTGTACTTTACAACAAGTAGAGAACGGCACTTAGGCCGTACACAGCTCGCAAATTCAGCCAACCAGTACTTTGGTAACTGAGCCCACCTCTTTCAAATACAAGCCTTCGAGGCGGCCATCAAGATGCAATTTTTAGCCGCTGAAACAAGGTCACAAGAGCGTATTCACCTAAAAAGCAGCTGACCGGTGATCTGCTGGGTCAATATCTCAGCTTGGATACGCAAGCAATGCTCATTCCGGTACTGAAGCAAAGGCCACACACCAAGCCAAGCGGTGTCCTGCCAGAGAAACAAGCCCTCGCCACAAAATAAATTCCATTAATTGGAAGTACAATGTCACAGCAAAACATACAAAAAATGAGTAATCCCACCACCTACGTCAGATTTTACTCGCTAGACCAAACTGTGACGACAATACGAACCCGTCAAATCTAAAAAGGGTAGCAAACCATCAACGATGCGCTAGTCTAGTTGCTTCTGTTTCTCGGGTCAATATACAAGGACCATTTATCTTTTGATAGAAATACGACTCTCTACGTATCGGAGGTTGGAAAAGCTCCCCTGGCCTTTCCGATTCGAGAAATAATTTCATCTCCAGACAGTCCACCGGAACTTACACAGCTGCCTAGGTGAACAAATGTATCTGCCACATCGATTGGCTCGTCTATAAGCATGAAGTTTGGGTTTGGTCCAACCCGGTCTTGCAGTAGCACTTTACACTTTGCAGATGCGAAGCGCATGTCAAAACATGCCTCAGAGTTATTTAGGACACTTAGAGTCGTATGCATTTTGGAAAGATCTGAACCAATAAGAGTAATATCTTCTGCATACTCAGTGTCTACGATTGAACACCCCGGGAACATTCCCACCCCCGAGGTTTCGGAGGCAAGCAGGGAGATCTCAAGCAGTAAAACAATAACAAAGTTGTCGTACGCCAGTGGACGTTGTGAACTCAGGCGAAAACTTGCCGTACACTCTTACCCGTCCACAGGAGTTCGCATACAGTGTCCTGATAAAGGATATAAATCTGGAAAGGATGCCTTTGATCGCGAGACACCGCCAAAGTTTATGACCATTGACGGAGCCAAAAGTAGCCTTCAGATCAAGAGAGACGACTAACGTAGGACGTCTGAAGGATTGGCGCTGTTCAAGAATTTGTCATAAGGTAAATATACGGTTGATGCATCCTCAGCCAGGGCGAAACCCAGCTTGATTCTCACGAATCCCTCTCCCGATAGTCCATCAAACTACGCACAGTAATGCCAGAGGGAAACTTGAATGCAACAGGTACCAGGCGCAAACCACGACGGTTTTCACATGACGTTCTTGTGCCCTTTTGAACGCTGGGATGACGGTCGAGGAACTCCATTTCACTGGTATTCTGTTTTCCTTCCAAACCTTCTGCGGTATGGTCGTCAGACTGTTCAACAGGACCTTTTGAATAGTGTGGGATGCAGACCATCCGGGCCAGCTGCCTTGTCACGCTTCAGGATGGATATCTCACCCTGGATTTCAATTGCTGATGGCGGGTTGGTGTCAAAGTTATTTCAGCGGTTGTGTTGAAGGATACCAGGTAAATTATTCTTTGAAGTGCTCATCCCATCGCTCAGGACGACGACGGAGGGAGCGAATAGCCGTTCAGTCCTTTTCATATAGTTTCAGTGAGACCTGTCTTCCTTTGACCCGTCGACTGGATCAGTTGAAACAGGGCGCGGCTGTTGCCTGCAGCGAAAGCCTTCTCCATATCCTGGGCCTTCGAAATCCACCAGCGTTCTCTGTCATTCTTCAAGCTCCTGATTATCCAATGTTTAAGGGGGCTGTGTGTACCACCACAGTCGCCAAATGTTGGTACGGTCTTTCTGACAGTAATAAGATCTGCTGATCCTGAAGATATCCAGTGTTCATTGAGTCGAGTCAGATGGACTGGATAAACAGTTCTGGAAGCTGAGAATATAGCTTCCTCAACCCGCTTCCATTTAACCTCAAAGCAACCTTCATGACGCGCATGACTTTGCGTTTTTAGTAGTTTTCTAACCCGATCAGCTCGATACTCTTGAGCTACTAAAACTTAGCGAAATCGATTAACGGAGATGCTCTCGGTAAAGCGAAGTGACAACCAGGTCCGCAAGACGGCAGGATCAGAGTCCAGTTGCACACTGACAGTGTGCCTGTAAAAAAATGACCCGCCGTTTCCTTCCTGGAAAATTTATCACACAATGGTAATCAACCCCTCTTAACTTGGTCTGACTTGCCTTAATCGACGCTATCACAGTAACGGTTTGAACCATGTTACAGAACTGTATGAAATTTGTAATTAAGGTACAGAAGACAAAGCATGGTTAGGTAACGTGCTATAACTCAATAATTGACGACTTCCCAATAAAAAAAGTTGTGAAACTAAAACAAACCTTCTGTTTAACTTTTTTGTTACGTATGCGGTAGCGATTCGGTTGTAATGACCCAGTTGGCATACCCAACAACTTTTACGCAGGCAGTGAGACACTGGCACTTCAACAATGGTGTTGCTGACAACGACGATACTGATGCTTACACAAACTTATCACGTGAACAGCGGTGTCAGCTAGAGCACCTGGTGCGGCCGGAGTTGAGTTTCAGAGTATCCTGAAAAAAATCAGTTCAATGCAACTGAAAATTCGATAACCAAATATAGAACGGTAAGCACGGTCAGATTTGGTTAGTCAACCATCGATGACAGTTTGATATCCTCCTACGGTGGTGCTTCGTACAGGAGAACACTACCTCAAGTAATATGAGCGTGTACAACACCTTCAACTATTTATTTTGGATGGGCTCAAGATCTAGGGCACTGAGGGTAAACAAATGCGTAGGCATGAGGTATGATGACAGTTCTAATGGAGAACAGCACAGCTTGTACCCTGAAATAAAAGCTTCTTTTTACAAAGAAAGACGGTCTACTATCAAGAGTAATATCAAGATATAACAGAAGCTCGTGATATACGAACAGGTAAACGGATTCGACCACAACTCACTACTTAAACTCCTTTATAATTGACCGATGGAGTTTATTACAAAAATCTTCCACTGTGTGAGACAAAGAACGCAGGATCACGGGAGCACTGTAATCTGGTAACTGTCCTTTGGGTTTCGTATAAATTCGAATCAAATTCAGATAGTCCCACATCATTTCCAAAAGGTCGTCAAAGTTCCATTTGTGGTGGGCTGATATCGGTACACAGTGTGGAATCCGACAAATAATGTCTAATTCCTACCTGGTGGTCAAAATTTATACAGGATAGTTCTTACTTCGATCGAAATCTGATCAATCTTGTTCAGCACATATATGCAGGGAATGTATATTCGATTACCTTCGATCACGTCAATCAAGTCCTCTGCTGTTGCATCGCAACGGAGAAGCACATCTGCATTGTGCATTTTGTACTCAGCCAATATGGTTTTAACTGTATCACGGTCCAGTTCAGATTGCGGGACCTGGAAATCAACAACAGACTGAACACGAAGCAAACTTACCAATGCCTGGAAATTTAGACCACCCTTGTCCTTCTTTTTCACGGTGATATTGGGTGGTTCTTTATTGAGACGAATCCCAAAGCCCTCTAGTTCGTGCTCCAGTAGTCTCTTATGGTGGAGGGGTTTCAGTACATCCAGGACCATCAAAATGAGAGTACAGGTGCGAGCCACTTCACAATAAGCAATGAATGAAAAGGAGCTAGGAAGACTTACCAGCGATGACTTGCTTGCCTCGTCCTTTACCGTCCTTCGCCCCTTCGATGATACCAGGTAGATCAAGCAGCTGAATTTTGGCACCTTTATATCGAATGACACCTGGAACAGTTGTGAGTGTGGTGAATTCGTAGGCGGCAACCTCGGAGTATACACCAGCCAAATTACAAAGAAGCGTGGATTTCCCCACGGAAGGAAAACCAACGAACCCGATACGAGCATCTCCGGTTTTTGCGACATCGAATCCCTCACCACCTGCACTGCCACCTCCTTTAGGCTCAATTAACTCGCGACGGAGTTTCGCCAGACGAGCTTTCAATAGGCCAAGATGACCCATTGTGTTCTTATTCTTTTGTGTCTTAGCCATCTGCATTTGGCCGGGGAAAAAAATGAGGATCGATTGGATTGATATGCATGTGCACTTGAACAAGTAAAAGATCTACATAAAACAAAGGAAAGATTTCCAAACTCTCCATCTTTGAAATCTAATAGAATATGCAATTGGTAGCATTTTAGTGCAGAGTAGGATACGAAGCCGGTCCGCCATTGATCGAGAGGACACGTCTAACCTATTGTTAAGTCTTGACAAGAATCGGAAGGACCGAGGCTTAGGTGTTGTACAGCAGTGCTAACTAGCCTGGACAAAGGTGAAGAGAATGAAGGAGGCACAGCTCTGGTCTACAATCACTCTCGCCACCAAACATTTATCATCATCACCATTTAATGGCAACGCACTGATACTAAGCACCACTGGGGACAGAAAGAAAAGATGAAGTACTTGGTGCGAAGTATTATCCTCGGGGAAAAGATCAATAACAAGGTGCTGTCTTCAAGCATCAACGAAATGAACACACTTGCGTACCATGTTGGAATAGGAAAATAATAACAATCGTTCAACTATAACACCCTTCCGGTGCCCTGTTGCCAGGCGCCAGTACTGAGACACTGTCATTTCCAAAGCTTAGACAGTAGCGGTCGACATGGAGCAGTTCAAACCAAGGGCCTTCCGGTCAGTAAGTTTGCGCCCTAACCAGTGAGCCATCTCAAGCTCATTGGATTAAGAAGACAGCAAAAGGACTGGCTCAGCATGTTCCGCGAACTTTACCAGAACAGGCCAGCATACAACGACAGGCAAACTCTAGCTAATTCGACCAGCTGGGAAGTGACACTATGCTTGCCAACAGGATCGGCTACGGTCATATGATATAGGCGGACTCACACCATCACTGCGTTGGGATTGGCCTATCGAAATTATCCATGGACCAGAAGAAGCCTTAGGACCTCTTCCCGCAGGGACCAAGTCTCGCAAGAACACAATATAGCCCTAATTGTAGTAAGATAAAAATACACAAAAAAGTGGTCCAGATAAAGTACCTTCCCGGTGCCGTACAATTGGAAGGATATGCGAGAGCCGAATAAGTGCCAACTAGTCCAAGCATGAAAAGCAGGAATCGAAAAACCGGGGTTGGGTTTGAGCCAATAACTTCCCGGTCAATGTTTAAACCCTAACCGATAAGCTATTTCGGCCCATCATGATGCACACGACAATTAGCATTCAAACATACGCCTTCTTAACATTTCAAGTGACGTTTATCGGCAACACAAATCAAATTCTCCTCAATACATATGGGCCATAAGAAATACACCCTGAGGAAAATCACTATTCGTATGACTTTCATCTGAAACTTGATAACTTGAAGATCCAGTCAATACCAGACGACAATGCGCGAACTACGTGTCGAAAATGGTGGCACTGTACCCTAACCGCAAGGTAACCACAGTAATGATAAGCCACTAGTGTCCAAATAATGTAGAAAGTATTGAGGGCATCTGTATACTGATGAGGATGTCGAGTTCAAATCTCCTCGCAGAGATTCTACATATATACAGTGATGATAGTCTCGAGTGCTAACGAAATTCCTGTAAGTAACTTCCAGGCTTTTAATCATAAGTGGACTTTGCTTGCAAGATAAAATCCCAAAAGATTTCAAGACCTTACTGACAAATATATGACTTTCTATATTTGCACCACTACCACCAAAACTAGTGCAATTTAGGATGCAAATCGCTCCCCGACGTTCATTGCCTCTCCGTGGAGTATTCAAACATTGTACGTCATACATAATTTCATGCTTTGGGGATACGAAGTACATGCCGAAAGATGGGATGACTCTGGTCAGGTGTTCTTCCTTGTTTCTGAAAGTGAAAACTTCTCATAGGCATACCTCAGGATGACAAAACTCTCGTCTTCAGCGATTTGAGTGATGGAAATCTGGGGACCCAGTCGTTTGAGGCATCTCCATCAACTAGTAAATTGATATAGAAGGAAAAAATAGTCACTTTTGCTTGTATGGAAGCCTTTGGAGAGCCCTCTATACATTCTCGTACGCCCACAGAGTGTGTAAAAAGGAAACATGAAATTAGGGTCAATGAGCAGACTTTGGTCCACGAGGGTGTTTAGGACAGACTAGTAAAGTAAATCAGACACGCCCTTGAAGTCAATAAACACTAACATTGTAAGCGTTCTATGGGTATGCCGCTGGTCTAACCCTTGGTTAAAGATGTGATCATCCCGGACATGATTTAAGTGGCCGTTTCTCGACATATCTCCTCGCAAGGTTATTGTATGACGCGGAGAGTCTTGCCACAACAGAAGGAAAGCCGAATTTCAGTGATTTTCACAACAAAAATGCGCATTCTGCGAGGAGAGTTGTTGTCGTGTCGTAAAGTAAGAATCCAGTTGTAATGAAACGACGTACAATAAATGCAAAGCAACGATACGATGAGTCCAGTTGCTGCGCTAGAAATAGCACCGGACAGGCAACAGCATCACAGATTGTACTGGTTGCCAAAAATTGGTTCCCTGTCTGAGCATGTGACACAACACTCAATAGTTACATGGTAGAGAGCACATGCTTCACACGCACACAATGCGGAAAGAAGGCAAACGCGGAAACGCCACGTGCATGGATGTAATCAGGCCGCCGCCGGTCTGGTACACAGCAATTATCAACTCGCCCAAGTTGACTGAGATGACCTCCAAGAAAACAATTGATACAATCACTGTCTGAGGATTTCAATTCCAGTTCTGAACAAAAGGAGTGGAGTTCGATTAAAGCAGGGACTGAAGGGCATATGACCAATGCCGCTGGAGCTTCCAGGTTTATTGTCCGATGTTCTGTTGCAGGCCAGAAGTCTTGTTAAACGGTAGCAGACGGCCGGGCGAACTGGCTCTGAAGTATTTCCTTCATAACCCGGGTATCCTTCCCTCGAGACAGGCGAGTTAGTTTCACCAATGAATGCACTCAGGGCTCTTAGTGTCTATTTAATAGATAACTTTTACTTGGAGACTGATGCATATACCAAGGACACACCATATCAATGTTTGAATGTATTGCTTGTATGGAAGCCTTTGGAGAGCCCTCTATACATTCTCGTACGCCCACAGAGTGTGTAAAAAGGAAACATGAAATTAGGGTCAATGAGCAGACTTTGGTCCACGAGGGTGTTTAGGACAGACTAGTAAAGTAAATCAGACACGCCCTTGAAGTCAATAAACACTAACATTGTAAGCGTTCTATGGGTATGCCGCTGGTCTAACCCTTGGTTAAAGATGTGATCATCCCGGACATGATTTAAGTGGCCGTTTCTCGACATATCTCCTCGCAAGGTTATTGTATGACGCGGAGAGTCTTGCCACAACAGAAGGAAAGCCGAATTTCAGTGATTTTCACAACAAAAATGCGCATTCTGCGAGGAGAGTTGTTGTCGTGTCGTAAAGTAAGAATCCAGTTGTAATGAAACGACGTACAATAAATGCAAAGCAACGATACGATGAGTCCAGTTGCTGCGCTAGAAATAGCACCGGACAGGCAACAGCATCACAGATTGTACTGGTTGCCAAAAATTGGTTCCCTGTCTGAGCATGTGACACAACACTCAATAGTTACATGGTAGAGAGCACATGCTTCACACGCACACAATGCGGAAAGAAGGCAAACGCGGAAACGCCACGTGCATGGATGTAATCAGGCCGCCGCCGGTCTGGTACACAGCAATTATCAACTCGCCCAAGTTGACTGAGATGACCTCCAAGAAAACAATTGATACAATCACTGTCTGAGGATTTCAATTCCAGTTCTGAACAAAAGGAGTGGAGTTCGATTAAAGCAGGGACTGAAGGGCATATGACCAATGCCGCTGGAGCTTCCAGGTTTATTGTCCGATGTTCTGTTGCAGGCCAGAAGTCTTGTTAAACGGTAGCAGACGGCCGGGCGAACTGGCTCTGAAGTATTTCCTTCATAACCCGGGTATCCTTCCCTCGAGACAGGCGAGTTAGTTTCACCAATGAATGCACTCAGGGCTCTTAGTGTCTATTTAATAGATAACTTTTACTTGGAGACTGATGCATATACCAAGGACACACCATATCAATGTTTGAATGTACTCCCCAACACGATTATGTCACGCAGACAATGGCGGTGTCCTATCTAATCTTTCACTCTGGACCATTAACCCGCTGTCCTTTTGTTTTATTTCCCGTTTCAGTTCTTTTTTAAATGCTCTTATAAACCTCCTCTATTCCTTCATATCCACTACCATGAGCTCTGGAGACCCGAACGAAAGTGCATGCGTACATGGGATATCTGTGGTCTAGGCGCGAACTTACTGATCGGACATGGCCCAGTCGCGTCCTCAATGGCACTCATGCATCCAAGCTATTGCCTTCAATGCATAGCTCCCTTCCCGAACCCTAACTTAACAGTTCACCTACAGTGTTGTATTCTGCACTAATTTATCAGCTCCCGCCTCCAATGCGCAGCTACCTAACCCACCTCCCCGAATCATCGGTGAACGAAACTGTGGCAGCTACAACCACTGAACGGTAAGTACGCTGTTATTACAGCTGACAATGATGATGATGACGATCGGAGGCTCCGTGGTTGGAAACCAACCCGGGCATCTAGATTTCACATGTCTAGGCTTGCGCAATTTATCGGAGTCTCAGATGTCGTGCTTCCCTCGGATGGTATGGTAGCTAGGCAGTGAAAGGATGTCACAGACAGACGATTATTTTTTTTATTGTATGGTGATGTTAGCAAGCGGCAGCCGGTGTGACGTGAAGTCGCTTGGGGTTGAGGAATTGGCAGTTTTGTATTTCATAGTTGAACGCCGCTGAGTTAGTGCTTGGACGCCCATACCTGGGCATGAGAATGATGAGGGTCCTAGAAGTTTTTGGCAAAAAAATCTTTCACAAACGGTGGTGGTGAGTGGTGCAAGATTATCATACTCCAAATTACGGGGAACAATTCACTACACGTGGTTTGATACCAAACCTGGAGGACCAGGAGACAATTAGCTAGACCACTACCTATTGACCAAACTGGTATCAGAACACACGTAACCCATGTAAAACATCTCTGATAGTCTGCCCGTTATTCGACCGTCAGGCTACGCACCTTCTAAATGTTATTGGGCCGGGACGTATAGTCAAGAAACCAAAAACAACCCAGTAGGAACACATATATGGAAAAATCGCACTTGCAGGTGCTTCACACGCCCCACCTGTCAGGTGTATAACCACCTAGTCGGATCCGCCTTTGATCCATAATGGAATCACCGGACAATGAGCATCCCGGTTCTCGTCTACCGGCTAGCCGCTTAATCTTCCCGATGGCTACTGATTCTGATGCAACCCTCCAGAGGAGCTACGCGATGTACAGACTCGTCTATATCAGGATGTTACTTACTGCGCACCCGGGCTATGCAGTCATCTTTCTCGGAAATCGGTGCACGTAAGTTCCAATTTATTCTATGGTTAAATTGGGTTATAAGTAGATGTAACATCCAACTAAGACCATCGCGTCAGTCGGCGAACGCTAATGAGCGAACAGCTGCAATCAGCAGTTTCACGTTGCTCTCCAGGTCGTTCGTTCTGCATACTGGAATCCATCCAAAATTGGGACCACTTCTGCGTACTGAGCCCCAAGGCACAACTGCGTACGCTCCTTTCTTACCTAAGAAGGCACTGTTCAACGCAATCGATCTGTGTCGATGGCTGTCCGCGCCGTTTAAGTGGGCACGGATTGTCAACCTCTCTCCAAGTCGGTCCAACGGTCAGTTGAGTTTCTCTGCTACATCGCTTTCTGATAATACTTCATTTAGAGCTTCCTGCCTCCGCTGGTCCAGTCGATTTAGGCCTAAGTTAGACCACATACTTTTCCGAAATATATTTTACGCTATATGTAACAGTGTGTGAGTTAGGAGCTCCTAACTCAAGGCTAGCCTTGCGATAACGCCTTGAACGTCGAGTGAAATACGTGAAATACGTGTCCAAAAATAAGATAGCTTGCGATACACTGGTGACCACGAGGTCACCGCGCGACATATCAAACCCCAGAGCAATACGGACAATGTAAGTGATTACCTGCGAACGGTCCAGTCACGCCCCCCACATCAATCCGTACGAGACCAGAGTTTCGTCTATATTTGCACCGTATTGCCGAAACGGATTATGAACACTAGTCACCTTTTCTAAAGAGGTGACTCTTGCGATAACGGGACAGCCACGGCCCGCCATAAACACGGATGGATCCCATCCGTGGTGAACCTGCCGTGAAATTACGCTTGCCATGGCGAGATGTCACATTTGGCCAATACATGCATCAGCGCGCAAAAACACAGTGCGACAGGAAGACTCATCGACAGTCAAGTGAGTCGAGATTAAGAAACAAGCCGCTTTATCGGATATCGTAAAAGGCGTGCACGACCGGCGCAAGTCGGTTAGGCTTGAAAAAACTCAAGGATAATCATACACTTAAATGTCTAGTTAGCAAAATGAGCTTACCTCAGCTTCAATTTCAGCTATCTTTTGAAGGATGCTCATTGTAGCGAAACAGATAAAGCCGACAAGGGTTGAGGACGGAGGTGTAAGAAGTGTGCGACCGAACACGGACTTCGACCAAGCGGGACTTCGGCCACTGATTGGTCAATGCGTCTCATGTCTGGTCATGGCCATCACTTTTGTTGTGCCGTCATCCTCATGCTCATTGGCTGAAATCTCAATGGGGGGAATGTCCGAAAATGGTGGCCGAGCTGAATGCAGGGCCGATCCGTAGACGACCGGGGTTTGCAAAGGGAGATTTTAACATAAGGTTTAAACATTTGATGGTATTAATCGAGCACCTAAAATTTCCCTATCCGACCGAAGTTTTGTTAGAATTTGTTTAAACGTACTCAATATCCACTGTGGGCATGGAATTAATGTTTTAATGGCTGCCGATAACCATCCATGATGTCCCAGTGAAAGTGGTGGTGTGTTTCATGGAGAGGTTTGGTTCACTGATCCACGGATTGATGCGCGGGATCCAGGCTTTGGCTCAAATTTCCAGGTCCGTTTGTTGCTGTCGGTCAGCAGCTTCCGTTCACCTACAAGGCTCAGGCAAAAAATGGCGAAGCGCCGTTCTTCAAGTCCTCAGCGCGGAACAGGAATCTTTCCATGGCGAGTACTAATCCAAAAAGGGGCATAAAAGTTCCGTCGGTCAGCTCCGTTCACCTACAAGGCTCAGGCAAAAAATGGCGAAGCGCCGTTCTTCAAGTCCTCAGCGCGGAACAGGAATCTTTCCATCCATAGTACTAATCCA